TTTTGGGATTCATTTGCAACGAAGAAAACTTAGTTAAGCTCAAAAACTCTTTTAAAAGTCATCAATTTTGCGGCGGGCATATAATTGTGGAAAAGATGGATGTTTTACCTCAGGAACATGGTGATATAGAAAAACAGGCGTCACTACAAGAAAATGGACAATTAGCGACGGATGAAACGTGTATTTGTTACTTGAGTCATGATTCTTGACTTGAGAGATATATATGTTAGGTTAATAATTGTACATCAAGTTGACCCATGACTTTGAATTAATAATACACTATACATTTTGGAACAGCTGCCTTTGAAATTAGGATGTAGTTATGTTCTATCTCAGATCTGAATTTAGTAATTAAACCGAATCTTATATATATATTTAGCGACATATTCAACAAAGAATCATATGCATCATGCATGATTTTCTCTTCTCCCTGCTGCCTGTTGCTTGCCTTTCTTTGGTTCAAACTCCATGTGATCATTCCTTCTATTAATTTAACATTTATTTTTTTCCACTAAATTCCCTTGACTCACCATGCTTGTTTTGACAGCATTTTTCTTTTCAATATTTTCATTATATGCTCCTTTCTTAAATCACAATAATCAATAATCTTTGCAAAATTTGATAACTATTTCAAAATAATACTCAAAACCCAATACTTATACAAGTAATTTCAAAAAATATGTATACATTCCCTTACTTGTCATAGTTTTGAGTTTTGACTACTAACTTGGAATTATGTACTCTTTTTCATAAAGTTCCAAATTGCAAGATGACCATATGCTGAATGCTAAGTTTCAAGCTTTCTGAGTTAGTTTTTGTTTGCTTGCAGTCTTCCTCCTTGAATCTTTACCCTAAGCAATTACGCAGTGAAAATTTTATAGATTGGGTGGGTGGGCTTTTTCAATTACTTTCTTTGACCACTGACTTGGAATATTTTTCTTAATGAACCTTTTTTTCATGCATGAACTTTATATTGATGAAAGCTATGCTTCATAACATATATATATATATATAGAGGAAAATTCTTTAATTTTATATGCGAGATTAAAAGGTTAACATATATCCCATTTTTTTTTATAAATATTCATTTTTATTTTTTTTCTATACTTCAATAGTGTATTTGATTGGAGAAAAATTAAATTGCTGGTCGAAATGTTATTCTACTTGAAAAAAAATCGTATGAAATGGTTATATCACGGTAGCATATATTACTTTCATTCACATCATGCTATATAATCATATTACTAAAATAAGTTAATCATTTATTACACATCACATGTGATAATTAAATGGTAAATATTTATTTTAATACGTTCAATTATTTTATAATAAATAAATAATTTTTTTAATAATATAATTATATAACATGATTTGAATGAAAATGATATATTAACGTAATATAATTGTTTCATATAATTCTTTCTCTACTTTATATTATCAAAGTATTTCATTTAGTTAAAACCATTCTTAAGTATCGGGAATCTTTGATTACCTATGTTGCCATTTTGGGTGAATCCAAAACACACCACTTTTCTAGATTAAGTTACATTCTGTCCGAAATGTAACATTTATACTTATTTTGTCATCATTAAATGTAAATTTCGATTTATTTTATGTTTTTCTCTATAATTTTAAAGAAATTATCAGCCGAATTTTTTTTCGAAATTGTTATAATTATAATCAAACATTTAATCTATATAATGAACTAAATAATCAATTATTACATTATAAACAAGTTATACTCATTAAATAATTAAATAACAAATTAAAATATAACTAAACAAACCAACCAAACCCATATACAATACTGCACGGAATTTGAATTTAAAACGTCATAATTCTAGCAAAATTTTCTATTTTCTATTATTTATTTTTTCCTCTTACTATAAACAATTCAAGACTTGTCTAATTTTTGGTGATTAAATTAGCTTTCATTGTCATCAATTAGGGGTTATATCTACTGATTTCGAAATATATATGCATATATAATATAGTATATAGTTAATCATATATGATGAGATTTAGTTAAGAAAATGAGGTTCTTTAAACATTAAACAATCAGCAAGAACTGATCGTTGAACCAAAAAAAGATAATTACTGATAATAATAGTACGCTGTATGCACATATATTGTATTCTGATTTACTATTTTGGGATTCATTTGCAACGAAGAAAAAATTAACTAAGCTCAAAAACTCCCTCAAAAGTCATCAATTTCGCGGCGGGCATATGATTGTTGGAAAAGATAGATGTTTTACTTCAGGACTATCTTATATATGTCATAAGCATGGTGAGAACAATAATCAATGGTATATAAAACAGGCGTCACTATAAGAAAATGGACAATTAGCGACGGATGAAACGTGTATCTGTTACTGGAGTCATGGTTCTTGACTTGAGAGATATATATGTTAGGTTAATAATTGTACATCAAGTTGACCCATGACTTTGAATTAATGAATACACTATATATTTTGGAACAGCTTCCTTTGGAATTAGAATGTAGTTATGTTCTGTCCCAGATCTGAATTAAGTAATCGAACTGAGTCTTATCTATATTCAGCGACGTATTCAACAAAGAATCATATGCATCATGCATGATTTTCTCTTCTCCCAGCAGCCTGCTTCATGCCTCTCTTTGGTTCAAACGCCATGATCATTTCTTCTATTTAATTAGTAACATTATTTTTTTTTTTCAACTAAGTTACCTTGATTCACCAAGCTTGTTTTTGACAGCAATTTTCTTTTCAATACTTGTATGCTCCTTTCTTCAATCGCAATAATCAATTACCTTTGCAAATTTTGATAAATATTTCAAAATAATACTCAAAAACATACAAGTTTAAAAAATCTAGTATTATATAACAACCTTTTTTTTTTTAACAAAATAAGTTGCAACGATAGGAAAAAAAAAGTTACAAAATGTTAGAATTTTCAAACACGTTAAATATTATATAATGAATCAACTGAGTTAACTTTTAAAATTTACCTAAAAACATTATGTTATATAGAGAATAGTAAATTATCAATGCAAATTCATCTCCCAAAGATTAATTAATCACCCATTTGCATGTTAATTAATATTTATATGGTCTCCACTTTGAAAAGATGATGAGGCAAGTTAGGCACCAACAGTTACATTATTTGTTAATTAAATATTACTTTTTAATTAAAGTAACCACGATTTTAATCATGACACTTCAAGTAAAAAAAAAAAAATTAGGCAAGTTAGGCAATTGTGAATTGCATATCTTTGATATTGGAGATGTAGGGATTCAAATCAAATTTATTGAGTAGACATTGACAAAAACTTGCATCAATCATTACATTAATTATTGTTATTAATAGATATGAATTAAGGATTGCATTAATTAATGTTAGTATGATCTATTTTATCATTTCCCTCTTCCCACATGTGGAAGTTGGAACAATAATTAATAAAGTACAGCCTTCTCATAGAATATGTAGTTCAGTTTCCATCTAGGGAATGTTTTATGTGCCCTTGACGTTGCAATTAAGTTTAATGAAAGTATTAATCCCTTGTCTTTATCAGGTCAAATTTGATCAAATTTAGTAGGCAAAGATACATTGAGGAAAAAGCATAAAGAGTTCTTTTGTTTGCTATTTTGTCAAATTTTAGACGAGAATTTCCGAGTTCGAGTCTGATCGGCTTGAGCTATTATTTAATTAATAAATATTTTATTTTGGTTTAATTATAAATTATGTTATAAATATTAATATTTTTTAAAAATTAAATTTGTGTGGACAAATGAGATCGAGTTGAACTTTGGGTATGAAATTCAAAAGATTAGCTATCCAATCCAACTTAGAAACAGGTGTATTTGTTGGTTGAGCTTATCCTAATTATATGGGAAATCCTCAAAAAAAAAAAAATCCAAAAAAAAACAAAAGAAGGAAATCTTGCATGTACTAATTAAATAAAATAAAATAAAATTTCCACTTATTTTTATGCAATATAATATTAGCTTTTCCATAAAAAAATAACAATTGAAAACTTCAAAAGCTTGGAACATTAAAATATAAATATCATTGACTACTTGATTGCTTGTTTCACTTGTTCATATAAAAAAGGCCATTGAAAATTGGATCATTATGCATTGCACTAATCTTTTCTTTTTTTCATAAAATTAAATTTCTTTGTTGGGTTGACAACAATATGGTTATTTTATTCTCATTAGCATTGATAGCAATTGAAAATGATTGATTACAATCTCCATTACTTGGCATATGAACTTTGCCTTAAAACATAATTTAAAATAATTTTATACTTATCTAGAATTTAGATATTTACTAGTCATTGCTAAGAACTATATAAATTAAATTTTAAGTATAATACTTATTAATCATGCTTTGAGACATAATTAATTATATTATTACAAGATAAAACATATAAAATCGACTAGCAATGATGTAAAATGATTGACAACAATCTCAATTGCCATCAAAGTCCCTTAAAACAAATGAATTCTTAAAATATAATCAATAATCACATGATATATTAATAGAGTGCTAAACTTTTAATTTTAATTATCAGAATCAAATTTTGATAATTTTAAATTAAAAAAAAAATCTTTTAACATATACATATTAATTTGAGTGCCAGTCCAATTATAACAAAAAAAATTTTTTTTTAATAGTATGATGGGGAATATTAACGAACAAATTAAACTAAAATTTTTACCCAAAATGTACCTTACTCCTACCATTTGCATCATGCCAAAACCTCATTAGCATGAAGATTTATAAGAATATAAATGTTAGGCAAAATGTATGTATATCATGCTATAGATTTTTTTCTTTTGATGGACTTAATTATGCTATTTTTATTACACAATCAAAATGTTAAACATGATAAAAAAAAACAACTATTCTTCCCTTGTTCATTAGCTGGGCTTTGGAATTGGCCCATGACTGTGTAGCATATTTTGGGATATTATAACTTGAGGCCCCAACACAATTGGGCTTCATCCCATCCAATCGTTTGACAATGTCACGCAATTATCCAACACAGGAACCTGGGAGCCTCTCGTGTCGGGAGACCAGACCTGTATATTTCTCGCCCAGTGAATCTAAAACTGGTTGAACTAGGGTTTTGCTACTTCTCTCTCTCTCTCTCTCCGAACACTGCCCGTTTGCTCCAAAGAATGCCAGTTATTGTTACATTAAGCTAAAAACATGGCGTTTTGGCGTAGAATCAATCGATCTAATCTTCAACTCTTATCGAATCAATACAGGAGATTTTACTTTCAAGCTCCTTATACTTCCTCTCTTCATCAAACAAGAACCACACCTTTAGAGAAACCCGTTAGTAGCAGTATTTACAAGAAACCCTCTTACTTCTACAATAATGTCAGATTTTTTGCTGCCCCTGTTCAGGTAACTTTGCAAATTACATTAACTTTTAGGTAAATCTAGTTAATTTAGTGCTCTCTTTTTTTTTTTTTTCTTGAATCTAGGTATTGGTGTTTACTTCTGAATGAGTTTTGGATTTGATTGAGTTAAAACTTAAAGGGGTGTTTGGATTCTGAGTATTTTGTATACAGTTTGTTGAATTTTAAGTAATGGGTATGAGAAGTTTGTCTCTTTGTTGTGCTAATCTTTGTTGTGCTAAGGATGAAGGGTTAATTTGATGTGTTGGTTTATTTCAGGCTCTCAAGAATAAGAAGGAAGACCCAAGCAAGGATGGGCCGCGTTTAAATGAGCAAATTACTGCTCATGTTGTTAGATTGGTGATGGAGGACGGTACGTGACTTTGTCTTTTATAATATTAAGCAAAATAAAGGGTGGCCTTTTCATATATGCCTATATGAAGGTTATAAAGATGTGAACTTGCGAGAAGGATAGACGTAGGACTAGGAATACAGACTGACCCGAATTGAAAAAGAGAGAAGAATGGAAGATTCCGGTTGTTGATTGCAATAACAGTTATTCTATGTATTGTGTTGGATTGTCTTAAATGGTTTTAGGGTAGTTGTTTGCTATTATATATCAATTTATGATTTATGTATATTGCAGGTCATCATTCTATCGTCTCAATTCATGAAGCATTGGATCTGGCAAGCAAGCATGATCTTGATCTAGTTGAGGTGATAATGCTTTCAATTGAATGGTTAGATTATTCTTGCCGACTACGGCTTTCTAAAGAAATGCTACATATTATTATTCTTTTTTTGTTAAAAAAAAAGGAAAAGGAAAAAAAAAAACCTTATATATTCCATTATTTTATTTATAAGTAATTTTTAGCTGCAAAAGTGGTGAGGAGCTCTATAATCACACCTTACATGTTTTTGATTTTTTTAGCAAATGTAACTTTTTCTTAGCACACGTTACAATTTCCCTTTATTTATAATTGAGATGATTAATATTTATGTGTTTTGCAATTTGGTATTGAAACATTCACTCCATTTCCTTTTCTTTCATCATGCTATGATAAAACTTTTTTTTTTTTTGATGATCTGCCATTCTTTTGAAGTTTTTTAGAAGAATAACCTTTATGTCCAGTTTTGTCTACTGTGGGATCTAATACAAATTGTATAATTTATGTAGGTTCAAAGAAATGATAACCCTCCTGTTTGTAGACTGATGGACTTTCATCAGAAAAGGTACCAACGACGTCTAAGGGAAAAGGATCGTGCTAAAAGCAAGGTAGGTTACATGATAATTCATTATTTTTGGTCATTTGGCTCAAGATAAAGTAACAAATATGCTATGCATGACTTGAATATTTTCTATTCCAAATTGCTGGCATGTACCTTGCTTACTATTATTTAGTCTGAAATAAGATCTGCCTCCAAGCTTAGAAACCTAGTTTTTTGGAGCAAAAGGTCCTGCAAGGCCCGAGGCCCAGAGAATAAGAGCAAAAACGACATGGACTTTACACCTTTAGTTCGCAGAGACTAAAGCTTATTTGGTAAAAGGCAGCTTGTGCTGTTCCTGTGCAATGTTTTTGCCTACTTGGAAGCATTGAGATAATGAACTGAGCAAAATAGACCCATGGTCTTCTGATGAACTTGTTTGGCCTTGATTTTTTCTGACATATTAGTTAATTATGTGACACTTTCTGTAGGTTTCATAATATTTTGAAGTGTTGATTGACCATCACAATTATTTTTTGTTTCTGATATTAACCAACCATCATAATTCAAGCTAACTATGTTTGTCTTTTTGTGTTTGTGTGTTTGCCGATGCTTGTGTGAATCTGCTTGTTTTTTTGAACAATACTAGCTATACCCTTTTTCATAATAATTTTATTTTTCTGTAGTCAGGGGAGACATTAAAGAAAGGAGAAGGCAAAGAGGTTCGATTCACTGAGAAAATTGTAAGTTCTTTCTTGAAGAAAGTTTGTCATCTTTTTCTTATTGTCCACTTAATATTGCTACTACATCCTGAAACCATGATGCAAAACATTCAATCAGCAATAGTGCTAAAGATATTAGAAATTAGAAATAAAAAATAAAAAATGTTTTAAAGCTGAACAACGTATTGACTTATGACAGGAGCATTTAATTAAATGTTTTTAGTTAGTATTCACCAATGGCTCTTCCGGAACTGCTTAATGCCAAATACAAAAATTTAAGTTGGTATTCACTAAAGTTTTGAACATGTATAGACTTTCTATAAAGGTCATTGAAATTTGAACCATACCTATCCATCAACAAAACTGGCTGGGAGGTACATGAGGCTCACTGCCTGACCTTATGAAATGTGCTAGGGTAACTAGACACGTAAAATGCAATTAAATCACATGAATAAAGTTTATTTGTATTCAATAGATTTTCCATAGTATATTCCTTCTCACTTTGTTTGTATCCTCAGCCCATAACCGAAAATTCATTATGACATCACTCAGATGGGATTTTCTTCTTGTTGAATTTTTTTTGAATGTTTAGTTAACTCCTTGTTGAAGTACTCATGAGGTTTCAGTATTAATTAAGCAAATTCAAAGCAGAGATGTGAACATGACAATATTTCTTCTGCTTCTGCAGGAAGCAAAAGACCTAAAGATAAAGGCTAAAAGTGTCGTAAGATTAATGGAACAGGGTTACCGAGTGAAGGTACTTACTTCAATTTCTTTAAAGGATTAATGATTTAAGTAAAGTAATATATGTTTCTGTTAGTTACTTGTTTTGCAATTTTTTTATGGTGCATGACTAAGTCATATTAGGTGTTAATCGATCTTTATATTCACTCTTATTTTTGCTTTTTGTTCCCTTGAGTCTGTTATACTCTCGTGTTCTAGTTATATTCGCTTCCTCTTTTATGCTGTTATATGATGATATGCTAATATCTACCCCCACAATGTTTTCAGAAGAGAAATCCCCTATTTTCTTCTATTTTTTCTTTTTTGTTGTAATGACTTTTGCTAGAAGTGTACTTTGACTTAAAAAAGAAACAAAAAAATTTAGCCAGGATTCAAAACTAATTCTGAGACTGGTAAGCGATCATATGAAGAGAATTCATGTTCTTCTGATGGGCAAAGATGCAAAATTTATTACTTATCTTCAAAAAAGAAAGTGCAAAAGTAAATGTGGAGTGTGTTGATTGTCAATAAATTGGTGACATTCAAATTAGATGTCATGGTTCCGAATTCTGATGAATATTGATGAATGTCTTCTGTGGTTCACCAATAGTGTATGGCCATGGGCAAGGGTAAGGAGGATGAAGACGAGGACTTGGGAGGACTTTTGTCCCGTCTCACTGACTTGGTATCTCACATTCCTATACCTTTTTTTTTTTCCTTCTAGTGTCTCATGTGGACTTTTGATTCCTTATTTGTCTCCCCCCTTCTCCCCAATCGCCACTCCTTTCTCCCACTTTCATGATTAATTATGCAGATTGAAGATGTATCTGTCGTGGAGAGTGGGCCAAGGGTGGAGAGAAAACAGGCTTATGTGATAGTCAGGCACGTCAAATTTGGCCCATCAAAGAAAGGTGGTGGAAAAACATCAAAGGCTGTCGAAGGTGCTACAACTGAACCTGCTACTAAATCAGCCATTGATAGACAAAGGCCCATCCTGCCTCAAGATGATTCTACAGAATCTGTCTTTAAGTCTGAAGATGAGGTACTTTCAGATGAAGATGACCTGCCTACATCTTCACTAATGCAAATGCAGGCTGAAAATGTTGAGTACAAGAAGACTGCTTGGTCAGTCTCAGAATCTGGTGATGATTTAGACAAATTATTCAATAATAATGGAGGTGTTTCATCAAATTCTACATTGAACAAAATACATGCTACGCAACAAAGAGTTTCCTCCCCACCAAACGATTATGCATCAAAGTTTTTGCATCCCAAGCCAGATGTTAATTCCACTGGATCAAACGCTTCTCAATTCCCTCATCCAGAGACATCCATTGGGATTGACAACAGACACAGAAGAAGTGAACCAAGGAATATGTTCCCTCCTGCTAGATCAATGGAACATGTGGGTCAGAGTACAAGAGAGTCAATTAGGTCAGAGCCCCAGTTCCCATATCCACGACGGCAACCACCTCAAAATATGGGCCAGAATCTGAGAGAGTCAGCTAGGTCTGAGCCACAGTTCCCATATCCTCAACGGCAACCTCCACAAAGTATGGGCCAGAGTCCGCAAGAGTCAGTTAGGTCAGAGCCCCAGTTCCCATATCCACGATGGCAACCACCTCAAAATATGGGCCAAAGTACAAGAGAGTCAGTTAGGTCAGAGCCCCAGTTCTCATATCCACTACGGCAACCACCTCAAAATATGAATGCCTCATCCTCAGTGCGAGACACAAAGCAAGTCGAGTCTAATGACTTGCCCAAGCAACAACCATCTCATTCTGATGTTTCAGGTGCTCCAGCTCGCAGCTTTGGAATATTTAGCACTCCAGCAAATTCATCTGGCCAGCAAGGTATGGCAAAGGATGCACATGGGAGCAACAAGGGAAACAGGTATGCATCTGTAAGAAATCGTGACATGGGAGGAAATGGAGCTAATCAGAATTTTCCTGGCTCAAAATTTGATGGTAGCCGGAGGCTGGAAGGTAATGTGGGTGGACAACCACAGAGATTTGGAATATCTAGTAGGGATAACTCCAATATTTCTCCAAATAGAATGCCCAAGTCAAACTAGGCTTATAGGAAATATTCTACAATTTTTTATTATTGCCATAAAAAACTAATGGCAGAAACAGTTTTGGTTAAAAAATCTTACTTATTTTTTAGAATAATTGATCTTTATGGCATGCTTGCATCTCCTCACCATTGTATTTTGATGAAATTATGGAGAAGTGAGAAGAAAAGGAACTCTGATTACATTTTTGTCACTTGATATGTAGTAATAATAAGAGGAAACCAACAAATACAATTTGGTGTTCCATTTTGTTTGAGAATATATATATATATATATATATATATATATATATATATAGTACTTGTTTTAGAGTATTGAATATGTAGGAATTCTACAATTTGTGTTGGACAAAAGCCATTATGAAATATTCCTCCCTCGGACTGATTGTTGAAATTTCTGTTCTCCATTTTCAAAACTTTATGAAATTGATTTCTTTGGATGAGACTTCCAGAAAACTTTTTTTTTTTTATATATTGATAGCGGAATTTTTTGTAGTGAAAATTTTTAATTTTATGTCGGATTAAGCTTAAAAAGTATGTGCTGCTTTATTAATTTGGACAATGAAATTTTTGGACATGATAATTTCTTGTTTCAAAATATGAAACTGGATAAGGCCTAATTGGCCTTTCAGTTTCTTTATAAAAAATTTTATAATTACAAATCAAAATCAAATCTATTGCAATCAGTTTTTATATGAATTTTTAGGGTAATTATTTATTTTATTTGGGAAAATAAATATTATGAATCAATAAAAAAAATAATTTTTAAAAATAATTTTTTTCTTCATCCACATTTAAAAAATATTTGAATGGGCCGATGGATAAAAATAAATGAGTCATGGGCCTCGTAGTCAGAGTAACCGACAAACACCCGCATTATTTAGAGCCTCGCTTTTAACCCAAAATCCATTGTAACCCAACTTAGATCCAATTCATGTCAGTACATTTGATCCACACCCCGATCCAACAAAACCGACCACAAATCCCAAAATTTCACACTGCAGCCCTAGCGGTACGCAGGTACTTCAAAAAAATCTCAGATTAGTCGCGTTGAATTTTTTCTTTCTTCTCGAAAGGTAATTTCTTAAATTTCGCTTTCAATGCCCTAAGAAATTACGACGAACGAGAAAGTAAATCTTAAATTTGAATTTTGGATAAGCTTTTTGCGGATTCTAGGGTTTATTATTATTATTATTATTATTATTATTATTAATTTTAAGATTCTTTTCTCTCAATGGGTGAACTAAGTCGTAGTTTGAGCTTAGATTTAGTGAAAGTAGTGGAGTTTGTTAGTTTGTTTAATCTTTCGTTTTCGTCTTTGTGTCTAGTTTAAATTATTGGTTTTTGTCTGTTAGTTGCAGATCAGAAGTGAGTAGGTATGGATTTTGATGAATATGAGTATTTAGAAAAAACGGTTGAAAATCCTGAGCCTCAAAAGTCGAAGAAGGGGAATGATAACGGCAGCGTTGATAATGTCAAATCCGAGGAGAGGAATCGAAGTCGTAGTTCGAAGCATAAGAGGGAGGATAGAGCTGATGATTGCGATAATGATCATCGTCATTCCAAGCGCTCAAAATCACGAGAGGAGTTATTAGGTGATCATGATCGGCACAAGGAACGGGGATCATCTCGTCACCGGTCGCGGTCTAGAGATGGGGGCAAGGATAGGCACAGGAGTAGCCGAGAACACAGAGTCAGGGACAGGGACAGGGATGATAGGAATGGGAGGGACAGAGAAAAGGAACGCGAACCAGATAGGAAAGAGCATGATCGCGAGAGTGAGAGGGACAGGGAAAGAGAGATAGATCGGTCAAGGAGAAGCAGGAGTCGATCAGAAAGAGAAAGAGAAAAGGAGAGAGATCCAAGGGAACGAGACAGAGATGGCAGGTATCCCTGCACTTTATTCTCACTTCCATTTGTTTAGCTTTTGGCTTCTTTGTGCATGTCATTCTTGTCACATTTGGTAATTACTTTGATACATAACTGCAAATATTAATTTGATGCAATGATATTATGCTAGGAATTTGTTCACATTTTATAAGAAACTTTAACAGGCAGGCTATCCGTTGCTGTGTTAGTGTGTATGGTACATTATGATCTTTATGCTCATATATACTGGTTTGGATGCAGTATGGCTTCATATGAGCTTGTGATTTTTACAGGCTGGTCTTGAGTCAAAAGGTCTAAATTGACATTTTCTATTTGCTTGAACATTTTTCCTTTCTTGGTAAAAAATTTCTCAATAAGCATCTCTCCCAACTTAAAGTTGAGAGAACCTTGTGTTATTTTCCGATTACTGAATTTGTTCAAAACAAATTTTATTGTACTTCTTCAGTATTCATTGAATCTGCTCATTATAAAAGGCTAACTCCACTGTAATGTAACAATTAAAAAGTTTGACAATTACCTTTAGTTTTATAGCTGGCTAGGATTTTTTTCTTGAGAATGGTAGCGTAGGATTCTGTCAAAAAATGCCACCTACTAGATGGTTAGGGTAGCTATCTTATGCTGATTGCAATTTAGTGGCATATCAAGGAAATTATTATTGAGGTGATGCCTATGTGCTTGTACTAATTAGTACCTACCACCTAGACATGGGAGTGGTTAATCTTGGAGGTGCGAGACCTTTACTTATATTAATCTTATTTCTGTTTGGAAGATGTAGTATAGAATAGGGGTGGCTGAAATTATAGATTGGTAATGTTGTGCATTGTTATGGTTATTCAATGATGATTTTATTTGACTTGTAAGTGAATTGATTACTAGGTTTACTGTCTTATTGATTCTCCTCTTATTTAATATCTGGATCACAATTTAAGTTTCTTTCAATTGACTAAACTATAGAGCTACCTGACTCTTCTTTCTGGTATTGGTAAGTAGGTCATTTATGTGAGTTTTGAACTTTGATGATAGCAAGTTTCTTGATAGAGTTGTAAATGCTCCCATTTGTTGTCATTGGTGATGTGAAGAAATAATTTCTTAGTTCATTTTATGCAAGTTCTGTTGTTCTAGTGAGCAAATCTGATGTAGATATTTTTCTCCTGTTCTTGGTGTTCTGCTTCCAAAATCTCTCCAAAAGTTGGCACTGCTATACTTGGCCCCTGCTTGCACCTGTAACCATGTATAAGATCCAGATACTCAACCTTTTCTGTCTCGTAGATATGGTCTATAAGTTGTTTCCTCCAAGTATAATTCTCACTTGCTTAATAGGTTCTATACTGTTATATAAATGAGTTTTTTCTCAGCTCTTAAGTTTCATATAGTTGTTCTATTTATTGAGTCTTCTAAATTATTAATATTAAACATTAGATTCTGGGAACTCGCAGATGTGCTAGAGCAATCTTCAGATGGTCTTTCTGGCAATTGGGCCAGGCACTGGAAGTCAGGTCATGGGTTTTAAATATTTCTTCCTAGACTATACTTGAAAGCTTGCATTGCAAGAATGGAGTTTCGATGTTGGAGGTTTTGACCGGAGTGGTGATGTCATGTTATGATTTCCGTTATCCTCCACCTTTAAAAAATGAGTTGCTTAATCGTATCTATTCTGTTGCAGAAATGCTGGTGAGGGTGTAATGGGCTTTGCTTAAGCTTTAAAGAAGCAGTTCATCTTCGTGTTCAGTGGGACACCAGATTGGCCACACTTTTTTTTTTTTGCAGGATATATTCATTAAAATGTTGTCTTGAAGTTTTAGGTTTTAGGTAACCATAGTGCTTTCTTTAATTGTCTTCTGTTTGATTTGACTGCTATAGAGTCGAGGTCATATGTTGACTTTGTGTAGTTCCCTGCAGGACCATGTAACAAGGTTTTGGCATTTTTATACATGTTGGAAAGATAAAATTGATGCCATTCTTGAATTTTTTTTGTTCATTTTTTTGGCAGTGATTGTATGGAGCATATGTTTGAGAGATTTCTTCCCTTCCCAGTAGCAAAAACATAATTTTTTTTTACTAATCTTTGTCTTTCCTTGAACTTTTTTTTTAATCTCTTTTGAGTGGTTTGATTGACATTTTAATCTGTTTTTAAACAATAGAAATGGTTATTTTATTTGTTTCGTCCTTTTCACAGGAGGTATAAAGACAAAAAGGAAGATGTGGCAGAGCCTGAGGTTGATCCAGAAAGGGATCAGAGAACAGTATTTGCTTATCAGGTGCAGATGCATTTGGAATGTTTGTTTTATCATGTTTTTGTGGCCTTGATGTGTCATTCCTCATTGCTGCTGATGTAAAATTTTGTAAACAATTACAGATTTCCTTGAAGGCTAATGAAAAAGATGTTTATGAGTTCTTCTCTAGGGCTGGCAAGGTGATTTCTAATTTTATTCACAGTCCCATCTCAAAATTTCTTCTATGCAGGTCACATTAAGTCCATTTAGTACTTAAATGTAATATGCATGATGCGTAAGGCCTTGTTTCTTATGTTGTGAAATTCATTTTTATTCGGTTACGATTTTGTTCATGACTTAGAGGATTTTTTAGCAATTGTAATCTGTATGACGAATATATAAATTGAGGTAAATTAAGGTTGTGTTGGAGTTCTCTTTTGTTATTAGTTTCCATGGAGTTGGAGTCATTTGCTCTATTATTAAAATTCATGCATTCTAATTGCTTTTGACTATATAACTGGTTTTATTAATCTTTCAACTTGTGAATCTAATTTTAACTATTGAAATTACGTTTAAGTTATAGAATGATTAGACAGAATCAGTTGATTTTGTTTTAAACAAAAAATTTAAAGATGTCTGCTATAATTTATAATGTTAAAAACTCAGATTATTTCAGCAGTAAATTTTAATCATCAAGAATGCAGATAAATTTTTGTGTGTGTGTGTTAATCTTTGATGGGTGTTATTGTGTTTTCTTTTTCTTTTTGGTCCTGCATGCTTACTAATCACAATTTTCAGGTACGAGATGTTCGACTCATAATGGATCGAAATTCAAGACGTTCCAAGGGGGTTGGGTAAGTACTAAACCTTAATGACCAGATGTACTAAAAATGTTACTATTTGTGTTGCATATATAAGTAAACCTTCTATGTTGTTATTTAAAAATTTTTTACTTGTTTGTGTATCAAACATATCTTTTGCTTTTTTCTTCTATAAGCAAAAAGCATGTATCAAAAGCAAGAACCAAGCAAACCCATTGATTATGGTTTTGCTTTTACTGTTTCACATCTACGTGGTCGTCATTAAATATTGTTGTCTTGACAGGAATTCTATGCAACTCACATCATGTGGGAAAGCCTAAATGTGCAGTTATTTGAAAGATTTTGAAGTTACGAGCAATTAGACTAGTTTGGCATGTGTCAAATGATATCTAAGATGTGGTTCAGTGAGAAATTGGGAGGTGTTAATGCTCCATGGGTGCTACTGGTTAGCATATTGTAATAGAAGTTACTTACATGGTAGTATTAATGCATGACAAATGAGATAAGTAGTTTATCAGAAGATTGAAAAATACTGTAGCTATGTTAGTGCCCAACCTAAACCAGTTGGTAAGAGGTGGGGGGACTTCAAAGGCTATGAATCTCAAATTAAACCAGCCTATAGGAAGGAAAACAATTTAATATTTCCTTTTGTTTGGGCCCAATACTGACAACTATATCTATTATGGCCAGTAAGAAAATAGGACAAAAAATAAACAGCAAATGGGCAACAAACAACTCTGATTCAATGTTAAGACATTCAACAAAAATCATTTGGCCATAGGTGTAATAACATTGCTTACAATTTATGGGAGTATAAACTTGTTTGTACGTGTGCGCAAGAGGCTTTATTTCTTTATTAGACAGGAATGATTTTATTTTTTTTGCTGGTAAAGTTAAAAACACTAGGCTAAAATTTTTTGTTACTTTGAAAATTCTTTTTGGAGAAATTAGCAAGAAGACATCACTTTGTGGGGTGGTTTGGTATGCCCTGCATCTTGCTATGTGCTTTCTCGTGGATCTTGATTTAGTTTCTCCATGCAGGTATATTGAGTTCTATGATGTAATGTCAGTCCCTATGGCAATAGCACTCTCTGGACAGCCTCTTTTTGGTCAACCAGTGATGGTGAAACCATCAGAAGCTGAGAAGAATCTCGTGCAGTCAACTACAGCTGTGGCAGCTGGACAGACAGGTCCATATGCTGGTGGGGCTAGAAGGTTGTATGTTGGCAACCTGCATTTCAACATTACAGAAGATCAACTACGTCAGGTAAGATTGTAGGGACTGGTAATAATGTACACTTTAATGTTTCAGATAAGATCTTAATTATTGGTTTTCAGTGCAGTTAATTTCTAATTACTCAGGGTTGGGTTGTAATATGGAAGCTTTTTATTTAGGAATAGAATGGCATGCTAATCTAACCGAAGAAGAGTTAAATAAATGAATTAAGGAGGGAATTATTCAAAGAAACAAGAAAGGCAAAACCTAGGCATGGCAATCTAGTGTTTTAGAGCTTCCAATCAAGGAGATTCATTAGATGCCTTGCAATAAATTGTGAGCTTCGAAGGATTTTATTCACTAGCTTTGGAAAACATAAAGTTTTAAATATGGTAAAGACTTGTATGCAAATTTGACTTGGGGAGAAACTGCCTCTCCCAAGGATACTTGAAATAAACTGAACTAATGTCCCTTTTCTTGTTTCTTTGCCAAGTTGTTTTTGACCATTTTTACAGATAACAATAATATAGCACTTGAACTTAAGTTTCCCCCCTTTTCTGATGAAATTCTGCACTTTCCATTCATTTTATCAGTTTGACCAAAATTACTGTGATCATTCATTGGGATTGGAGTGATCAGGTAGATTGGTAAGCAATATGAAATTACCTCTTAAATATGCTTCTGTTACTTGGTGCTTTTCAATATATATTTGCTAGTCTGCTTACACTCGTGGTATTTTTGATTAATTTGTTGCTCTTGGTCATCTTTTATAGGGGTATTATCTGTAATCCTTATAATTGGAGTACTATCTCTTTATTATTTTTCATTGGGATCCCTTATACTTTTTACTGGTTGATATTACTCATTTCCTTGTTAAAATGCTCAGGTTTTTGAACCTTTTGGTTCTGTGGAGCTGGTTCAATTGCCTCTTGATGAGACTGGTCATTGTAAAGGTTTTGGTTTTGTCCAGGTAATACTTAGTGAAGCAACCAGAGAAATTCATTTAAACTTTAACTTACTATATCTAACTGTTTGTAGTCAAAGAGGCCTTCCTTGGTAATTCTTGAATTATTCTGAATTTAGGATGCCCTTATTTCACAGATGCTTAATAATGTCTGTTTTGAAATGATAATTTAATGATTGTTCTTCTTGCAGTTTGCTCGTCTGGAAGATGCAAAGAATGCATTGAATTTGAATGGACAGCTGGAGATTGGAGGTCGTGTAATCAAGGTACTCAAGTCTTAGTTTCATGTGGGCATGCATATATTCATTGATATATCTAATTTAAGGTTCTTACTTCATTTGAACCTTCAACTAGTAAAACACGTAACCCTAATATTCTTTTGCCACTGACTTTTCTTTTAGCTGCTGTTTTATGGACCATGCAGCTATCTTTTTTTTTTTTTTTGCCCACCAGACAGCCTTAAGAATGAGAGTTTTTAGTTTTTTGTATATATGTTCTTTTTCTATCTGTTTAGGTATCAACTGTTACTGATCAAGGCGCATTTCAAGATGTTGGGACAAATGCCATCGATCTTGATGACGATGAAGGTGGTGGCCTGGTGAGTATTGGTCATACTTCTTTTTTCTTGTTAATGATCCTGAATTCTTTTATCCATCTAAAAAGGTATCTGTTGGCTAAGAATGTTTCTGATGAACCCAACTTTAGAACATAGCCCAATGTTGACATTGCTATTGAAGAAAGGTTTCAACTCATGTAATCATTTTTCAAATTGTCAGTAACTGACTATTTTCCAAGGAGGATAGCCACCAAATGTGAAGTCATGGAATATGCCCTTGTGGCTGTCTCACGTTTGTCTTTGATTTGCTAGCTTTTTCTGTATGTGATGAATTTGGTTAGTTTTGGAATGCCTATTTTTTCTGACATTTTAGTAAAGTTGACTAACATTCTTTTGAATTTCAGTCTCTAAATTCATCATCTCGAGCACTTCTTATGGTGAAGTTGGATCGCAGTGGCACTGCATCAAGGTTTGCCTCAGTCAATCTTGTAATTATTTTGTGTACAAGTTATCTTGCTGATTCTGCATCTGTCTCCTTGATATGCAGTATTACTGGCTCAGTAGGGATGGCTGTTAATAGCACCAGCCTTACGGCCTCCACGACACCAATCCTTGGTGCTGCACCTGTGATACCATCCCTTGTTCCTCCTACTGTACTAGCCTCTGTTCCTACCATTTCTGGACTTCCAGGTGGTCTACAACTCCCTACTAATGGCATCCCTACTATTGACACAATTGGAACTCCAAGCGAATGCCTATTGTTGAAGAATATGTTTGATCCAAAGCTGGAGGTAGGTGTCCATAACTAGATTGTAGAGTTCCTTTTTTCTTATGTTTTTGTCTAATCATATCATATTTTTTGTGACAGACGGAACCAGATTTTGATTTGGATATCAAAGAAGACGTTCAAGAAGAATGTTCAAAATTTGGAAAGTTGAAGCATATATATGTGGACAGGTAAATTCCTAGTCGTATCTGCTGCTGCTATATGTTTGTTAGATTAGGCAATATTTTGGTTCGCTCCTCATGCTTGTCTGATTTTGAGAATGTCACTGTGCCATTTAGTTCATAGTTTCTTTTATAGGTTTTTTTTGCCGTACTTTTGTTCTTCATATCTCTCTTTTTCTGATAACCATCGTGGCGTTTCTCAATTATTTCTTGAACAGGGACAGTGCTGGTTTTGTCTACTTAAGATTCGAAGACACACAAGGTGCGATAAATGCACAACGGAACCTACATGGGAGATGGTTTGCAGCAAAAATGATTACTGCAACATTCATGGTAAATAATTTTTTTTTTTAAAGCTCTATTTAGTTGGTGCATTTGTTTTTTATTTTTATTATTTGTCTCTTGTTTTCATTTCATTTTTTATTTTTTATTGTAAAAAAACTAAATTTCCAATCATACGGATTCTTAGTTTATCCTATTTCATTTTCATTATTCAATAATTGCCATCAATTTCTTTTGTTTTTGAAATAAAATGTTTTGTCCTTTGCAGGTGCCACAAACCTACGAGGCAAAGTTTCCAGACAGCAAGAGATAGTTGGATGATGTTTTAACCCAATGCTATGCTTGAAAATAGTTGGATGATGTTTTAACTTAAGGCTATGCTTGAAATCAAGGAGGGTCAAATTTCCGGGGGAATTATAAATGCCTTGGAACTTTATATTATGGTAACTTAAAAAAAAAAATCTATATTTTGAATTTCCAACTAATTTCATTTTACCATGTTTGATACACCACTGCAAGAAGGGAGAAATAGGTTTTTTTTGGGTTCATTTAGCAATGATTGAGTACGATGAAATTCCTATAAAGCCCTTGTGGTAGTTGAAATGTTTCTATCATCCGATGCAGAAATAATAACTTTTTAAATGATGACAGATATGACTTAATACCAAATACTGCGTTAAAATCTGTTTCAAGAAAAAAAGTCACTAACTTAAAACTTAGGGTTTAGTTTTTAATTTCAGCAATATCAAGGGTTTTTTTTTTTTTTCATAGTTTCTGTTAGACTTTAGCTTATAAAGAAAGAATTAAGTTCCTACTTTGAATATATATATATATATATATATATATAAAATCAAGTACCTAAAAATTCTTATATAAAAAAGGTAAAAAGTACTTAGAAAATCTGTATAAATTTATTTGTACATGGGTGTATATTTTAATGTGAAACAATAATAAAACTTTAATATAGGAATAACTATGTTTAATTGGAGAGGTTATTGGGGTATCAATGTCTTATTAAGTTATTTTTGTTAAATTATTATTAAATGTTTTATTTATAGAGAGATAAAAAGAGTTTTTGCTATTGTTGCAGGGGCCAATAAATAAAGATATAAAAGCGCTGCGAAATTATCAACCAATTATATCCGTACTCTTTATGGTTCTAAGCGTACTTCTTTTTTCTCTCCATATTCCCTTTTTTTTTTCCAATTTTTTTAGATAAAATTATTTAATTATAATTATAGTTTTAATTTTAAAATTTCTGAATATATATTTTTTGTAAGTTATATAATTTATTGTCCGAAAACTAAAAAAATTATATTTATGTTTAAAAAAATTTAATTGAAAAAAAAATCTTATAGAAAATTTTAAGTTTCCAGATATATAAATCTGAAAACTTAAAAAATAAAAAAGATATTAAAAAGAAAAAAATAAATAATTTCTATTAAAACATGATTTAAAAAAAGTGTGACAAATAAAAAATAAAATACAAATAAAATCTCTCATCTACAAATAAAATGACATATAACCTTTTTATTAACTGAGTCGTTTACTCCTGCTTGCATTATTTTTTTTATAAAGAACGCTTTTAGAATAAAAAATGAAACTTAAATTTATTAAATATCATACTTTAAAAAAAAAATTATATAAATTAATAGAGGAAAACTCAGAATTGTAGTTAAATTCTTTTGATCAGAAAAGGAAATGTAGCAGACGGCAATGTCAACTTCTTATCTTTTTTTTTTTTCCTCAGTTTTTACAAGGTAGGCCATGTTTTCAAAAGATGAAACGCTAGCTAGCGCTACTTTACAAAGTTAGGACAAGTTTAATACACAGCAAAGAATTAGTAGTGAATGAACAAATTTACTTGTCTGCTACCGTCATTGTGTTGGTCACTCCTCATCATCAATCCATCTCTTACAGTACAACACCTTTAAAGAGGCTTCTTATATATCCTTCATCCTTTATTTTTTTTATCACTCAGATTTTCTTGAATCGTCCAGTTTTTGTAGCCCCATATTACTGTGTTTATTATAGTATTACCAAAGCAATCCTATGGAAATCGTTGAAGTTGTGATTGTAGGGGCTGGAATTGCTGGCCTAACCACTTCCTTGGGACTTCACAGGTATACTATATTCTATAATCAACTGTCCACCTCACCACCAGCACCACCATTTTCATCTGAATATCTAATGACTATATGCAATACTGCAGATCTGGGATTCCAAGTTTAGTGTTGGAATCTTCAGATAGATTGAGGGTCACTGGATTTGCGTTGACACTATTCGACAATGCTTGGAAGGCCTTGAATGCTGTTGGCATCGGTCATTCTCTCCGCCAACAACATTTGGATCTCCATGGGTATAACTTAACTGAAACTTCTCCTTTTAGGTTCCAAGTTTTCGTTTCTCATAGCAAAGACGTGGATTTTTTTTAGTTCAGGTCGGTTGTTTCCACAGTTCTAAAGCAACGCACTTCAGAGCTATCGTTTAAGGGCCGTGAAATTCGTTGTGTCCGAAGGAGATTGTTACTGGAAGCTTTGGCAGCTGAACTTCCTAATGGCACAATCAGGTATTCTACTAAAGTGGTTTCGATAGAGGATTCTGGCCACTTTAAACAAGTACATCTTGCGGATGGAACTATCATCAAAACCAAGGTATATAAATCGACTCTCAGTGAATCATAGGTTGCCATATATATATATACATGACAAAACCAATTTTGCTGTTGATGTACCAGTATTAATTTCTTTGATTGTAAATAAAGGTGTTAATTGGATGTGATGGAGTTAACTCACTGGTGGCAAAGTGGCTTGGTTTTGAGAAGCCAGCTTTTACTGGACGTTCAGCTTTTAGAGGCTATGCAAAATTTGACAGTGGTCATGGCTTTAAACCAGAATACAGACAGTTTATCGGTAAAGGAGTCCGATCTGGTTTCCTCCCTTGTGATGATCACATTGTTTATTGGTTTGTGACTTGGGTCCCTTCCAGCCCAGGTAATTTATATGTGAATGTGACTACTGACTAGTTAATGCACTAACTTTGTCACCATTTTTCTTAATTTAAAATATTTTGATCTGCTTTCAGAGGAAGAGCAAGAGGAAAACCCTGTCAAAGTAAAACAATTTGTGTTAAACATGCTTGATGATGCACCTGATGAAACGAAGGCTGTCATAGAAAACACTCCTCTTGATGCCTTTGTATTATCAGCTCCATTAAGATATAGGCATCCCTGGGATATTCTTTGGGGAAATATTAGTAAGGGCAATGTTTCTATAGCTGGGGATGCCCTCCACCCAATGACCCCAGACCTCGGCCAAGGTGGATGTTCAGCTTTAGAAGATGGTGTTGTTCTGTCCAGGTGCCTTGCTGAAGCCCTACTAAAATCTCACAGAGAAATTAAAGATAAAGCTTTTGATGAGGAAGATTATCAGAGGATTCAACTGGCTTTGAAGAAGTACGCTAAAGAGAGGAGATGGAGAAGTATTGATCTCATTAGCACAGCTTACATGGTTGGTTTTATTCAACAAAATAATGGGAAGATAATCAGCTTCTTCCGAGATAAATTTTTATCCACATTCCTATCTACTTTGCTGTTGACTAAGGCTGATTTTGATTGTGGGAAGCTCAACGTTCCTTGAAATGACCGATTTCTATAGATGTAATCTGGTCATCCCATTGTACTGCGAACTTGCAAAGTGCTAATAATTTTGTATATTTTCTTTGAGTTGAAGTAAAAAATGTTTTTCTATCTCTTAGTTATGATCATTGTATACGTAAAAATCATCTCAACATTTTCGTCAGGAAAACAAAAATCATCTTAATATTTGGAAAAGGTTCAACTTTTATGTTGGAGTTCCAACCTTTCTGCTTGCTGCGTCACTCATTACTTTCCTTACAAAGGGGGTGCTGTGCTGATTTTGTCTGCTTGAGGTCTGAAAATACAAAAAATTGCAATAAATGCATAATACAATCCCATAAACATCTATGATTGCTTGCTGGTAACATGATTGCTGCAACTTTCATGGCAGATAATTTGTTAGTATTATTTCTTTTTTTTTTTTTCTCTTAAATTGACATAAAACTTATAAAAAACGTTTAATTCATGAAATTTTAGATTTCGAAAAAAAATATAATTTTAAAAGATGTTTAGATTCACTCGTTTAATTGAAAAGAATCTATATATATATTAATTTTTAAATAATTATCATAATTTTCTTAGTATATACGATGATATAATTTTTTGTTAATTTTTATTAATAATAAATATTCAAAAAATTGAATAAAATTATTTAAAGCATTTTTTATGTCAAATGCTATTAATAGTAATATAAAAAAAAAATTTAGTAGTAGAAACCTACAAATAATTTACAATCATTTTTAAATATGTACTATTTCATAATTTTTTTTAATTAGATTAAATTTAAAAATAACATATTTTTTTTTTCTGAAATCCTAAAATATAATAGAGAGAAGTAAGTTTATAATTTTGAAACTTTAAATACTAATGAGAATCTATCACTTTTCTTCCAAAATTAAATTACTTAAACCTGAAATCAAATATATATCAATAAAATTTTAAAAGAAAATGCATAAATTTTCTCATACCTAAACGCTCTCGTAGGGTTATAGTGTTACGTTCTCTGGTCTTTCTGGGACCAGAAACCTTTCTTTAAACGTTAGTTTTATTCATAGGAGTCATTCAGAAGAAAAGGATGTTCCTCATTATTTTTTATCCTTTCTCTTTTTGAGCTATGCAATGACGTTAGTGGACGTGTCTTATTCATTGGATTTACTCATCTGGACCCTGATCCTAGCCATCTAAGTTAATGGCTTTTGACCAGAAGGACAAAATGCTACGAATCATACAGTTATCAAGTTTGGATAAACAAAGCATCTTTGGTATTTTGGTAGCGTTTAATTTGTTTAAGAGCTGCCTTATCATATAAGCCTGCGCCGGCACAAGCACAAGCAAAATCCAAGATGACATGCATCCTAAGAACAATAAAAAAATGGTTCCATCTTTGAAATTTACTAATTGCTTCTTCAACTTATTTATCTACCAAGTTAAGGATCCATATAATTTTTATCTTCCTTCCTACGAAGAAATTACCTAACTTACGAATCTATAACTCTTTGAGTTGAAGTCTTATACAATAAAATAAAGGGAAGGTAACGAGCTTCTATAGAGATAAACTTTTATCTACATTTCCAGCTGGATTGCTCTTAAGGAAGGCTGATTTTGATTGTGCCAAGCTTAGCATTTCTTGAAATTAATTATGCATACATAAATTTTTCCTTTGTCTTGTTATACAACTCTACCAAGTGTAATTCATTTTGGATTGCAATGGAGTTTCAGCATTTCTTATTGACCTTTTGAAAGCGGCTTAGTTTCAATTTTTCAACCGTGGCCGTAAACTCATACATTTGCCTCATGAACATTCCAAAATCGTCAAAACGATGACCCAATGCTAGTAAAATTTTGGTGGTCATCGTTGGAGGCTTGAAGCTCAAAGTTGTATCATTTACTGTTATCAAAGAAAAGCGTTGAATTTTCTTTAGACCCTATAAGCAGAAAGAATACAATAATATAGTTAAAACTGAATCCAATTTGGCTTCGGTGTCTGCTTTCTTGGACATGCCCTGAAACATCAGAGAAATGAGCAACATAGCGTATTCAAGAATTATCCTAGGTCAAGCACAGGCTTTTATTCTTGGAGGCAAAGAAATGTCCCCATCTTTTGAAAATCAGTAAAAAAGACAAGTCTCATTGCCACTTTTTCAACTTTATTATTTTGTTTCTTTCTTTACCTTATCTGCTGCTGGCTCTTCTTGATTGCTAGTCTTTATTTCGACGAATCACACCTTGTATTTGACACCACCCACGATACTAAAGTTATATCTCTTTAATTTAATTGAAATTAAATTAAAATGCTACAATTTGCACGTGGGAAGAAGGACAAAGTTTTATCAACCGCCTTTGCCAGCGTCCGAGCAGACAAATGAACTAATTATGGAGTAAAAAATTGCACACTGAACCTGGATTGAATAATGCCCTATTTGCTGCCAAGCCTGCCAGCCGCCATCATTTGTCGTTGTCTCTCTTTCACTATATAAGAGAAAGAGCATTCTTATCCTTCATGTCAAGAATTAAAAGCAGTGTTCCATTGTAGCGTCTAGAAACCCAAAGCGTCCTGATGGAAATTGTTGAAGACGTTGTGATTGTGGGGGCCGGAATTGCCGGTCTCACCACATCCTTGGGACTACACAGGTATATCAGCCCCACAAACAGGCTTTTGATGTGATCATATTAACTTTCAATACTAACTGGTTCGAAACTATTACAGGCTAGGAATTCGTAGTTTAGTATTGGAATCATCAGAAAGACTAAGGATCACTGGATTTGCATTCACGACATGGAACAATGCCTGGAAAGCCTTGGATGCTATTGGCATCGGTGAATCTCTCCGCCAACAACATAACCTAACGCCAAGGTATTTAACTACGCTGAAACTTCTCCTAAAGTTCCTATTCTAGTTTGCTATAAACTGACCTGATCATGGTATCCTACTCCGAGTGCAGCATACTTGTTGCCTCTACATTTTTAGTCCAGCCCACATCAGAGCTATCATTTAATGGTTATGAAGTTCGTTGTCTTCAACGGAGATTGTTGTTGGAAACTTTAGCAAAGGAACTCCCCAGCGGTACTATCAAGTTCTCCTCTAAAGTAGTTTCTATTGAAGAATCAGGCTTCTTTAAACGAGTGCATCTGGCTGATGGAACCATAATCAAAACCAAGGTAAAATCGAGTTAACTTACAACTTTATAATTGTCTGATGTCAACAAAAACGAATTTTATTGTTAAGACGCAATGTTGATTGTAAATGACAGGTGTTGATTGGGTGTGATGGAATCAACTCAGTGGTAGCAAAATGGCTTGGTTTACAGAAGCCTGTTTTCACAGGGCGATCAGCAATTAGGGGTTACACAAATTTCAAAGGTGGCCATGGCTTTGGACCCAAATTCAGGCAGTTCGTTGGCAAAGGTGTTCGATCAGGTTTCCTCCCTTGTGATGATGAGATTGTTTATTGGTTTTTGAATTGGACTGCAGCCAGCAAAGGTACCTAAGCCCCCTTCTTCCTGTTAAAATTTTGTGACTGCTTAAATTGCACATTATCTTTCCTAAAATTCTATTGAATTGTCCTTGTAGAGGAAGAACTAGAAGACGATCCAGATAAGCTGAAGCAATTTGTAATAAGCAAGCTTAAAGATACACCAGATGAGATGAAATCTGTTGTAGAAAAAGCCGTGGTAGATGGCATTGTATCATCCCCATTAAGATACAGAAGGCCTTGGGAGCTACTATGGGGAAATATTAGCAAGGGCAATGTTTGTGTAGCTGGTGATGCTCTTCATCCCATGACCCCAGACCTTGGCCAAGGTGGATGTTCAGCCTTGGAAGATGGTGTTGTTCTGGCCAGGTGTCTTGCTGAAGCCTTTTTGAAACCAGGGGAAGATATCAAAGAAAAAGTTGATGAAGAAGAGGAATACAAGAGGATTGAAATGGGTTTGAAAAAATTTGGTCAAGACAGAAGATGGAGATGTTTTGATCTCATTTGCACAGCTTACATGGTGGGTTCTATACAACAAAACAATGGGAAGATAATGAACTTCTTCAGAGACAAATTTCTGTCGAGATTCCTATCTGGGTTGCTTTTAAGCAAGGCTAATTTTGACTGTGGCACGCTTAAGTAATTAGCATTTGTTGAATGATTGTTTCTCACATAATTTTTTGTATAATTTCCAAAGCTTCTTTACCTTAGAACATGTTGCAGAGTGGACATTCAATTAAAGTGTTTCAATAAAGAATGTTCTTTGATCAGATTTATCGAAATTTGTATTAAAAATTAGGACCATAATTGAGTTTTTTTATTTTCTAAGAACAAGTTCTTTCATACAATGAAATTTTAATATTATTTTAATTCTTATTAAATTTAAAATTTAATTCAATTAATTAAAATAATTATTTATATAATATAACATCCAATAAATTTAAAATTTAGTACTTTCAACTCATTTTTCTATCTTTATACTACGAACTTAAAAAAAAAAAATTCTACTAAACTTTTTTATGTCTTAAATTTTATAAAATTACTTCAGCCTGCAATAGAAGAGTCTAAATAATGATTGGGCTTGGCCCAATATAGGTTTTCAGCCTCAAGAAAAGGAGCCCAATATTGAGTTTAGTTGGGCTTTCTTGATCTCTTCTGCAAGAAAAAGAAAATACAAACGATGCGTTTCACCTGCAATTGGTATGACAGTTGATTTTGACCAAAGCGGCGTCGTTCACTCTGCCCTTTACTCTCTCTCCCACTCTCTCTGTCCACACTCCCTGCTAAAGAAACCGAGTTGAAACTGAAACCTCGCTCCTCTGCAAAGTCGGTTCTCGATTGCTCCAAATCAAGCCCTTCCTCTCGCGAATCAAAGGTCAATTCCTCAATTTCCTTTTACAATTCCCTCTTAACTTTTAAGCTTCTCCCTAATCAAAATTTAACCTTTTTAACCTGCAATTTTTACGTCAATTTCAATTAGCAATTTTTCAGATTCTCGAAAATGACTCAAGATGTGGAGATGAAAGAGCAAGCAGCTCCTTCCAATTCCCTTACTTCTTCTTCTCCTTCCACTTTGCAACGTAAGTTCAATCAATCAATCAATCAATCAATCTATAACATCCACGTGTCTTTAAAACTTTTTTTTTTTTACGATTGGTGATAGAAACTTGACTTCTTTTAGTATTTTCTAGACTGGGTATTGATGGGTTTTCTCGGATTTGAATAAATTTTTCTGGGTTTCTGTTAGATTTGAAGGAAATTGCTTCTCTGATAGAGACGGCTGCATATGACCGTGAAATTCGTCGTATTTTGCGGGCTGTAAGACTTACTATGGCTTTAAGACGGAAGCTGAAGCCATCTGTGCTTTCTGCATTCATCGATTTCGCTCTTACCCCAGGATCCGAGGCCCATAGTCGACTTTCTTCTTATCTTCCTAAGGTAATTTTTTTATGGGATATAGCAATCTTCGGTTTTCCATGTGGAATTGCTTTCATTTTCCTGTGGCATGATGGTTTGATGCCTTCAGTAAAGTGAATGGAAAAAATTGTGTATTATGATTTTTTAGTCAAATTGCTTGGCAAGCTCTTGGGTTAGGCTTGATGCCTTTGTTAATTCTAAGCATTGAAAAACGCACTAAATATAGAAAAAAATGGTTGTACCTTTGAAGTTAATGGTTGGTGATTGGCCCTTAATTGACCTTTTCTTCGAGATATGAATTTTTTTCTATATTGTCACCTTCACCTGGTTTAGTAGGTTTTCTAGTTCCAAGGTCTAGGTTTGCCTTGATCGGTAGTCAAGTTTTCTCCCTTTTATTGTTCTTTTAAGAACTCAGTTGGTGAATCTTGGTGTCAGGAAGATGAGCATGAGATGGAAGTCGACACTGCAACCTCCGCGGTTCAAGCTTCTGCTAAGCACACCCTGCCAGAGCTAGAAATTTACTGCTACTGGCTTGTCCTGATATTTCTGATTGATCAAAAGAAATACAATGAGGTACATTGGCAAATAGTTTCATCAGGATGTTTCCTGTTTCTTGTACATAACATTGTCTCGTTTCAGGCAAAAGCATGTTCCTCTGCAAGCATTGCCCGGCTGAAGAATATGAATAGGAGGACTGTTGATGTTCTAGCTGCTAGGCTCTACTTCTATTACTCTCTTTGCTATGAACTCACTGGTGATCTTGCTGAAATTAGGGGGTGAGCTATATTGTATTCAAATCTAACTTTTACCATCTGTTGTTTTTAATATATGTTCTGGGGTGTTTTATTTTTAAGAAATCCTGCGTATCATGTTTCTAGCATACATGATCAGAAGTAAAGTACGCTATGACTTCTAGTTCTAATTAGGATGATATTTCGTTGACAGTAACCTTCTAGCTCTGCACCGGATTGCAACATTGCGCCATGATGAGCTGGGTCAGGTAAACTTTCAAATATTGGAGCAATTATATCTCTAATATTTAGGTCTTATATTTGGATATTGCTCATGTAGGAGACACTTCTCAACCTACTACTTCGCAATTACCTCCATTACAATTTGTATGATCAAGCTGAGAAACTGAGGTCAAAGGCACCTAGATTTGAAGCTCACTCAAACCAGCAGGCAAGCCACAATTTTTTTTTTATCGTTTTGTCTCTGAACAGTGTATGTTAAAGTCACCCATGGTTCCAGGATATTCTGAACAATTATGGTTCCAGTTGTATCTATTAAAACATTACAGTTTAGCTTTCTTATCCTAAGACAATGGTTCTCTCTGCAGTTTTGCCGGTACCTCTTTTACTTGGGGAAGATTAGGACAATTCAATTGGAGTACACAGATGCCAAGGAGTGTCTCCTCCAAGCTGCTCGCAAAGCCCCTGTCGCGGCCCTTGGTTTTCGGGTTCAATGCAACAAATGGGCAATCATTGTCCGATTACTGCTAGGAGAAATCCCTGAGAGGACTGTTTTTATGCAGAAAGGCATGGAGAAGGCATTGAGGCCATACTTTGAACTGACAAATGTGAGTTTGAGTTTGTCGTACTTATTTTCTTTTCATTTTGCTTTATAAAGAACCAAGGTCCGGTATTCCAAGCATGACTTTTCCATTAAGTAAAAGGAGAGAAGTCATGTGAGTAGCTCTTAAATATCTTCACTAGTTTTATCAGTACCCCTTATGTTTTCATATTCATCAAAGTTTGGATTGCTGCTATTCAAATCATTTTAAATTTTAGTACAAAAACCAAGAGTTATAATCATTTGGATTGCCTCTTGGGTTTCAGCAGTTCTAAGATTTTACTACTGGTTTTGAGAACGCAGAAAATGTTTGTATGTTTTCCAGGCTGTGCGCATTGGGGATTTGGAGCTCTTCCGATCTGTTGCTGAGAAGTTCTCAAGTACTTTCAGTTCAGACCGAACTCATAATTTGATTGTTAGGCTGCGGCATAATGTCATTCGCACTGGGCTACGCAACATAAGTATCTCGTATTCTCGCATCTCACTGGTTGATGTTGCCAAGAAGCTTAGATTGGACTCTGTTGCTGATGCTGAGAGTATAGTAGCCAAGGCAATCAGAGATGGAGCTATTGATGCGACATTGGATCATGCAAATGGATGCATGCTGTCAAAAGAGACCGGAGATATCTACTCTACAACTGAGCCTCAAATGGCTTTCAACTCCAGGATTGCTTTCTGCCTGAATATGCATAATGAGGCAGTGCGTGCACTTCGGTTCCCACCAAACTCACACAAGGAGAAAGAAAGTGCTGAGAAGAGGAGAGAAAGACAACAACAGGAGCAAGAGCTTGCAAAGCACATTGCAGAGGAAGATGACGATGAGTTTTAACTCAGGACATCCAAAAGGCAATTTATCCACCATATGATGGTTTCATCAAGTTATGCATTTTCCTTTTAAATGCCCTAGTAGAAACGTTTTGGTTTTCTTTTCTCAATGGCTACTAATTGATAGCATTGCTCTCCATTCGAACTATGGTGTTGCTAGCATTTTTCCCCATGATTTTAAGTTTTGTTCCTTGAACAATGCCATGTCATTCTGATGAAACAGGCGACCATTCGATATAGAACTTTTCCAACGATGATTGCCGTTAAGAGTAGTTATACAAAATGATGGCGATGGGCTGCATCCATCATTATTTGATAATATGGCAACTTTCTGGACGATTATTGAAGAAATTATGTGAAACCTCTTACATGTCGGTTTTGGTAATATTGAAAAGTGTTATTGATTATTTGTCAGGTCACATGAAATGTCTGATCATAAGCAAAACTCAGGTTTTTATGACACTGTATTTGATAATATGTCTTTAGATTTTTCAGCAAACCAGAGAATAACAGAAGCTAGGAGTAGGGATATGATTCCTGTAAACATCTCAATCTGTCAAACAAAATAACGTAAAGATGACTACGATTCAAGAATGGCTCTGAGAATGGCAAAAAGGCATCTCATGCAAGCATATGGTCCTGAAACCACAAAAAAAATCAAAGGCATGATGATATTGCAGGATAGGTAATTGACATTATTAGAGTCGTATGGATATCAAATATGCAATCATTATTTACCAATTAGCAGACAATAGGAGCGGTCATAGCTGGAGCTGGCACTTCATAATTTGGTCTGAATACAGGACGATATTCTCAAGGGCTCCATATGAATGACAATTATGTCAAGGGCCATTAAGTGAAAACAAGTAATGAATAAGGCTTAAGAACAAATATTAACATAATTAAGAAAATAATTTCTAATTAGAAGAAACGAAAAATACCAGTCACTTGTTTATGTATGATACAACTCACATCCTGAACAATCATGAATGATGCAAAGTATGTTCAAACTACCAGGTGAGATGGGAAAAGGAGAAAGAGAAAAGGTAACAAGTAAAAAAGTAACAGAATTTGCTAGTGTAATGAAGAAATATTCGAAAGCTTCAATCTCACAACAGAATCACCCAGCTGAACTCAGCCCAAATGACTTGACAATGGTGCTCACTCTTTCTGCAAAAGTTCTGGATGTAATCTTTTTACCAGGCACGTGAAATGGGTTTGAGACCGCATCAACATATGCAGCATGGAATCTCCTGAAAAACTATACATGAAGTACAGCAAAAATTGAAGAGCAAGAACAAGTCAGATACTATAATAACATTATCAACATCCATTCAAAATAAAGACAATGAAATTCTCTTTTCTTCAAAATATAAAATAAAAAGCAGCAGGAAAATTAGCCATTTGTCTAATTAATAGAAAAGAAACACACTCAAACATTGGTCTCAATTTTATGCTTAGAAAGTGTTAGATTGTGCATAGGTGGAGGCAATAGCTACTGGCAACAACCTAGATCATCCAAGAAGTGGACATGGAACAATCAAACCTACAGTTCCATGCAGAACTCTTGACCAGCTCATCTGAAACAATAACAAAAAAGATAGAATTCCACATAGGAAAATCCACAACAGAACAAAAAGTCACATGCTCAGATATCAACAAATATGCATGGCTATGTTTGATTTCAGCGGAAACAACCACAAATTCCATATAAGCAGGTCTAACTCCCAAGTCCTATTGATGTATCAGGACCAACCTGCAAATCTAATAGATAGAAATATATCTTGAGAACTTACGATTTACCCCTCTCCAGATTTCCCTTTACAGCTTTCCATAAATTATCATCATCCACAACTATAGCTTTATATTACTGCATCAAGAATAGGGCTAAAGCTTGGTAATCCATCTATAGTAGTGGCTAAAGCTTAGGCAGAGTTCTTGACTGAACATAAGGAGAAAACCCAGCTAAACGGTCATTCATTACCAAGACAAACTCAACGCCACCACTAGTTCATGCATGCTTCCCAGACAATTAATCTAGAGCTTAAAATTTAATAAAGGTTCACTTATTGATATAACTACTTTTAGTTAAAAGATAGCTATAGACCCATAGTTTTTATTGGGATAAACCAAAGATGGAGATACAAAAAAAGAAAGATAGTACTAGAAACGATGCATTATTGCACATCAACATTGTTTAACCCCAGTGAATAAAGAAATAAAATAAAAATAATATATTCATAGGCTTAAAATATAATCCTTTTTTGTATATATCCAATTCATTCTCGGTAGAGCAATTCTTACATTTCTGACATCAGCATCTCTAACATCTAAATCAGTTGTCACCAAAATGAACTTCACCTTTGTGTTAGTCAAATAACCATAGCTGCAGACAACACAACCATACACAACAAGTTCAACATTCCAATAATACAAATCACAGCAACGATAAGAATTTCGAATCAAATGTCAAATAAAAAAAAAGTGTAAAATTAATTTCTTACACTTTATAATTTTCAGTAGGATAAAGCAAGCCCAAAAAGGTCTCGTTCAATGTCGGTCCAGATTTTTTTGGATTGTTCACTATAAATATAAAATAATAAAATATAATCAAACATCAGATATTCAAAATCTATAATTTGAAATTAATATAAACGAAATTTGCATTAAAAAAAAAACCTTAAATTTTAACATTTTTTACCTGATCCAGATCCTAGTATCTCCAAAAAAGTAAATTCTTAGATTAAAGATCAATTATAAATACCTCGCTCGTCGACGACATCGAGGGAGCAATGGACGATGTGGTGGAGTTTGAGAGCATCGTCGGCGTCGGTGAAGCTCTGTATGTAAAGAGGATTGTTCTGTTCATCCCCCCATGATAAATGAAAAACAGATATCATCAGGAAAAAGAGAAAAGAAGATTTCGTGTCATGATGTTGGAAGAGGAGTTTATACCTGATGGCCGACGACGGCGACACACACGATCATCTTCTCCGGATTTCACTCTCAGCTCTCCTAACGAAAGAGGAAGACGATTGGAAGTGAAGTCCCAGTTGTTTGCGTTAATCGGAGAAGAAGTTTTAGAGTGTTCTCAAGTGTAGTTAGATCTGATTGTGAGAACTTGACCTGTACCCTTGAAATTGCAGCTTCAGGTTCAGGGACGCTAACCGCCTTGTTTTTTTTTTTTTAGAAAATTGACTAAATAATTTTTTGAATCCTGAGTTTTAAGTTATTATGAAATAGGTAATTAAGTATTAGCTCAAATAATATATAAAAGTTGATCAAATTTTTTAAAATCAAATTTTTTAAAATTAAATATTTAAAAAAGATTTACATATCTAATATGCAAATAAGTTAAATAAAAAGAAATTTAAGGATAAAAATAAATTAAAATTTTTAAAAAAATTATACATAATTTGAATTAATAAATTACTATTTTTTTAAAACAAATTTTTAAAATGAGTGGCTATCAACTCAAAATTAAAATTAAACCTTTGATATTTTTTTAAAAGTCTTTAATCACTAAATTAAAGGCTAGAAGATAATTCAATTACATCTTACTTAGTTATATTTACATTTATTAAAAGCATTTCAACAAAATTAGTTCTTTTTCTTATAAATGTGTAAAAAAAAATGTTAATAATTTTTCTTATTTTTATCATATTATTATTGCAATGAATTTTACTATTATTAAGATAACAAATTGAAAAAGAAAACTATTTATATTTTAATTTAGATTTCTTCAAGGCCCAAACGGTTAATAATTACGTGTATGACAAGTAATTTGTGCAATTAAATGTTAATATAACCGTATGGTTAGAGTATTTCCTATTTTCTATTTTTAGTATATTTTTACCTAAAAAATTATTTAGCCTTGCCTCTAAAACCTAAATTGATTATGCTTTTTCAAGTTTACCTTGCAACAAAAGGCTACCTTTCCTTCCCTTAAAATAATCCCTAAATAAAACCATCGAATTTCTTCACTTCAAATGAAGATAAAGCATACTTTTTTATTTTTATATTTATTATTTTTAGTAAATGACAAAAAATAATAAAATACCATTATTTATGCCCTTTATGCGTATATTCCAAAACATATTTGAAAAAGAAAACCTATTTATAGAAATCGGCAAATCCAACGGCTCTAATGAAACTCAGAATGTTGGATCCCTATTGGCCCAAAAATCCAAACAAGAAGACAAAAAAAAACCTTTTCGTCTAATTACAAATCTGCCCCTAGACACCGCTTCCAATCTAGGCTCCAAATTAGCGTTTGTTTTCTTTAATTTTTCTTTTCTTTTTTTTTTTTTTTTGTCTTTGCTTTTCTTTTCGTTTTACAACGACGACCTTTGGTTCAAAAAACAAATTCCTATCTCTCTCTTCCTGTATTCAAATAATCGCCGATTTTCATCAGGTAATTTCATATTAGGTCATCTTTGAAATCTGACGATTAATTGGCTGAACCTATATTTCCAATTTCCTTGTCACTTAATTTTTATTGGAATTGAGGTGGTATAGAGTGGATTTTGAGCTGCGTGCTCCTTATTTTCTTTTTTAATTCTATTATTTGTTATTTCGATCAATTTTTGAGCTGTTTTTGGATATTGTTTTAATCTGTATTATTATTATATAATCTGTGAATTAATTTTTTTAATTTGCTTTTGTTTTTACATTCACTTTAACATTTGATTTTAACGCGATTGAATGTAAGACGTGTGTTTCTGGAAAATTTCGAGGCACTGTTTATGTGTTTTGAATAGGATATTAAAAGGCTACAAGCGATTTTTAGGTAATTTTTTGGTTGATTTAAAATCTGGTGATGAACTGTTGTGAAACAGCTCAATGGTAATTTAAAGTATATGATATTTGAGAAAATTTATGCTATCTATTTTAAAAGTTAACTGATTTAAGAGTGTTACCATATTTCCCTTGCCAACATGGGATAATCAATCATGAAAACCTTGGTTTTAATCTGTTAATCTTGAGTTATTTATCTTCTTGCGTTGGAAACAAGTAAAAAAAATAAGAATTACAAAATGTCAGATTATCGTTTGGTCGAAAGAACAATATGGAAATTAGAAGTAAAATGTTTGATAGGTTGAAACTTGCTTTGTGGAATTAAGTGCGATAAATGATAGTTTTTTAATGTTCATATGTGTTATCTCAGATGGGGACAGAGCAACATTTATTAGATTTTGAGACTAATGAATCCACAACAACAAGTTTGCATGAAAGTAACACTTTGAGTCGGGGTGGTTCTACAACAAATGGGTCTGTCAGTGATCAAAATGTAAATAAAACCACTAATGTTGGAGTTAGTAAACAAAATGAGACTTCCAGTAACTCACATATTGTTCCTTATATTTATCGACAAGATGTTGTCAGGAGTAATACAAGTGGTGCAATTGGAATTGTGAGTGAAGTTGCCGGTGACTCAGATTCAGATGGAAGCATTACTGATGATGAAGATGAAGATGAAGAAGAGGATGGTGAAGATGAAAGTGGTGATTTTGATGCCGATAGCAATGCTAATGAGAGTGGTGATGGGAGCAAAGGTGATCATGATTATAAGTGTGGTGATCTTCAAGCTGATCAAATTCGGGTACTCTGGATGGATGACACTGAGCCAGTTCAAAGTATTAAGAATGTAACTGTTGTTGATCGGGGTTTCTTACACGGCGATTATGTTGCTGCTGCTTCAGACTCAACGGGGCAGGTGGGTGTTGTGGTGGATGTCAATATCTCTGTTGATCTGTTAGCTCCTGATGGATCTATTATAAAAGATGTCTCTTCTAGAGACTTGCAACGTGTGAGGGATTTCACTGTGGGTGATTATGTGGTCCTTGGTCCCTGGCTAGGTAGAATAGATGATGTTCTAGATAATGTCAATGTGTTGTTTGATGATGGCTCTGTGTGCAAAGTTACGAGGGCTGAACCATTGCGTCTCAAACCAAGTACTAGGAATACCCTTGAAGATGATAGTAATTTCCCTTACTATCCTGGTCAGCGTGTTAGGGCAAGTTCTTCATCTGTTTTCAAGAATTCTAGGTGGTTATCTGGCTTATGGAAGGCAAATCGGTTGGAAGGTACAGTCACTAAAGTTACAGCTGGATCAGTGTTTATTTATTGGATAGCATCTGCTGGCTACGGGCCTGATTCTTCCACTGCCCCTGCTGAAGAGCAGAATCCAAAGAATCTAAAACTGTTGTCTTGTTTTACACATGCGAATTGGCAAGTGGGTGATTGGTGTCTTCTTCCAACTTCATTGCTATCCATTCATTTGGACAAGGATTTGTCTAAATCGCAACTTCATGGTTCCATGATAAATGGGGGAAATTGTGATAAGTTGGATGGTGAATGTGACTCAGAAGAGGTTACTCTGGAGGAATCAAATGATAATAGTGAATCCATGGATCTTGATGCAATGCTTACACCTGGTGAAGACAATGCAATTATTGAAACTAAAGACAATGGAGTTATTGAAACTAAAGCCTTACCTGAATCTAGCTCTTGTAGCAGTTCATTATCAGTTTCAAAGGAGACTGTCCATGAGCATTGGCCACTTCACCGCAAGAAGATCCGAAAAGTTGTGACTAGGAAAGACAAGAAAGCAAAAAAGAAAGTGGATAATTTTGAAAGGGCACTTTTAATTGCCAATAGTAGAACAAGAGTTGATGTTGCATGGCAGGATGGAACAGTGGAACGCGGAGTGGATGCAACAACGTTGGTCCCAATTGAAACTCCTGGTGATCATGAATTTGTTGCAGAGCAGTATGTGGTAGAGAAGGCCTCCAATGATGGTGATGATGGATATGAACCCAGGCGTGTTGGAGTTGTCAAAAGTGTTTATGCAAAGGAGCGGACAGCTTGTGTGAAGTGGTTAAAGCCAGTTTGCAGGGCAGAGGACCCTCGGGAGTTTGACAGGGAGGAAATTGTAAGTGTGTATGAGCTGGAAGGACATCCAGATTATGATTACTGTTATGGTGATGTAGTAGTTCGATTACCCCAAGCTTCTGTTCCCGTGCAATCTGCTTCTGGCAAAGGCTCCATTGAAGAACCCAAGCTGGGAGATGGATCAAAGGAAGTAAAACAAGGCTCTAAAAAGTGCTCAGGAAGTAACAAGGCAAAAGGTGTATCGCTGAATGAAACTTCCATTGACTTCACAGATCTCTCATGGGTCGGTAACATAACTGGCCTGAGAAATGGTGATATTGAGGTTACATGGGCTGATGGGATGGTCTCAACGGTAAACTTGATGCCTTATTCTGTGAACTATTATTTTCTTTTATTTCTCCTTAGAGTTGTTCATAACTTCTGAATCTTAAACTTTGAATCTTTTATCAGTTGGTTCTCTTATATTTATTACATTGGTAACCTCTCTTTCTATCAATTTGGCTGACATAAAATAATTATTAGAGGCTCTTTTATCTCACTAGATATTGTTATTTTGGTAGGGATGAAAGAACCTGCTCTCTTTTTTGTTATTTTGAGTGGTTTATTCTGAATGATCTCACAAGGATCCTGAGGAGGCTAAATATAAGCATTATAACCTTAGATAAGGTTTCTGATGACATTTTTAGATTATTGTAATCAGTTAATATTTCAAACTTTACTTATATGTTATTTATATCTTATTGTTGGAATATCTTAACCACTTGTATGTTCCATTGTGTGATGATTGGTGATAACTATTTCTTCTTGTGCCTTCGTTCTCCTGTGGAGGAGCATAGTTGTTGTTTTGACAAATTGATATTTTGGTTTCTTTAGGTTGGACCTCAAGCAATTTACGTTGTTGGTCGAGACGATGATGAGTCAGTTGCTGCTGGGAGTGAAGTAAGTGATGATGCTGCTAGTTGGGAAACTGTTAATGATGATGAGATGGATGCTCTTGAGAATGCTCAAGAGGTTTGTTTCTGTTTGAAACAATAGGATGGGTGTCTGTGAATTTAAATCAGTTACATGTCAATACATCAATTACTTGCAAGCAGGCTTTCTTTAAAACACAATTGACAGTCGAAGAATATGCTCTGGGATGATCTTGATGGGTTGAGGTTTAGAACTTTGAGAACAAAAAGTTTGATCTATTAATCATCATATGTTAGCAAAAAAAATTATCTTTGCCTTATTGAGCTGGTAGGACTGTCAGATGGTTGGAAAAAATTTTCTAGATGCCTTCTATTTGCATGATCACTAAACTTTTTATGCACATGCTAGTAGAACTATCAATATATTATTACGTAATACTAAATTCTAGTAATTGATGTATTTTGTTTCTCTTTTGAGTGAATGATGTGAGTATTTGTTGTTCAGGATCTGGAGCCACAAAATGCCAGCAGCTTTATTTCAGAACTAGAAGAGGGTATGGAGAATAATTCTGGAAGGAATGCAGCATTATCTCTCCCCTTAGCTGCATTTGATTTTGTCACCAGACTAGCCAGTGGATTGTTTTCAGGAAGACGAAAAAATGTTGATCCAATTGGTTTGGATTCCAAAGGAGAAAATGAACATCAGCCCAAGGGAAGAGATTCCAGCTATGTGTCTAGCTCGCAGAAGTCTAATGGTCTCGATAATTTCAGTGGGGAAAGTGTTCATGGAAAGAGTGAGGAACATGTTGAAGCAAAGGCCCAGAAACATTCACTTTCAGTAGAAAGTTTATGCAACTTGAGGATTGAAGACTCAGATTCTAAAACAGTTGATGAGGATGGTGCTTGCAGTTTCAAGCGGTTTGATACAGCTAAAGATCCTCTAGATCATTATTTTCTTGGCGCGAATGGACAGGTATATGACCATTTATATTTTAGCATTGTAACATTAATAGCACATGAAATATAATCTTTGGACATGGACTTTTTGTGTTATCATGGTAGGATTAGGATAATCCCATTAATTTGATTGTGTAATTCAAAACGCACACGAAAATATTGTAGTGCAACTTGGAAAGCTATATCATAGACTTAGTTTCAGAATCAAATAATTGATAAAGGAACTTTTTTATTGAAGATAGCCTTTTGCTTGAGGAGATTCTAATATATTGATATATTTCTTGTTAATTGTGTTGACTCGATCTGCTATAGTGTTATTACTTATTGGTAATTGTAATGTATAACCTTACCCAAATGGTACTTAACCTGTGTAGTTATGTCTTTGGGATTTTGAATCTTGCCATGTTAATCATGCTTGCAGAATAATACTGGAAGGAAGTGGCTAAAGAAGGTTCAGCAAGATTGGAACATCCTTCAGAACAACCTGCCAGGTAAGGATTGTGAAGTGTAGGTGTATCAAAAGGTTTCTAGTCCTTGGCTGTAGCAACCTTTGTTTTAAGCGGTTATAACTATTTAACAGATGGAATCTACGTGAGAGTATATGAGGACCAGATGGACCTCTTGAGGGCTGTAATAGTTGGGGCATATGGGACACCGTATCAAGATGGTCTCTTCTTCTTTGATTTTCACCTTCCTCCTGAGTATCCAGACGTGCCACCGGTAAGATTAAAAAACTTCTCTTATGTCTTCTTCACCCCTCCCTCCATCTCTTTCTTCTTGGGGAAAGATATTTCTATTGGATACTTTGTTTAGGACAAAGGTATGGTGACCATCATGTTAGGCCTTGACAATGAGCCCAAATTTGATTACTTAAAGCTTGAATACGTTTTACTTCATCTTTTAGAGTTCAGAGAATTTAACTTCTGAATTTTTTATGTTGCAGTCAGCATACTATCATTCAGGTGGTTGGAGGATAAATCCTAATTTGTACGAGGAAGGCAAGGTGTGCCTTAGCCTTCTTAACACATGGACCGGCAGGGGAAACGAAGTATGGGATCCATCCTCCTCAAGCATCCTACAAGTCCTAGTTTCATTGCAGGGGTTAGTGCTAAATGCTAAGCCATATTTCAATGAAGCTGGGTATGATAAGCAAGTTGGGACCGCTGAAGGAGAGAAAAATTCGTTAGCATACAATGAGAATACTTTCTTACTGAACTGCAAGTCAATGATGTATCTCATGCGGAAGCCCCCAAAGGTGATTATTGCATTTTATTACATTTCAATAGTATCTCTTTATTGAGTTACTGTCATGTGGTACATACGGATTTATCCCCTAAGATTTCAAAGGGGTATGGATCTTTTTAAGCATTGGCACATATTTAGTTTCTTTGTTTCTAGAATAAGTAGGTTGCATCCTTGTTTTTCAATAGATACAGCAGAGTGAAATTAAAGGTCAACTGTTCCTGTTAAAGTTTGGTGCTGATTTATTGAACCCTCACATTGTAGTTTTTAATATTTAGCCAATAGATCCAAGCGACATTGTAAAGTTGAAATTTTTCATGCTTCCATCTTTTTGATACTTAAGCTGTTTCAGGTAGGCATTTTTCTCAGTTGTGCTTGATGTTATGTATACAGATTTTCATGCTGTCTTTTTTTTTTTTTTTCAGATATTAATGATTAATTGTATAACTTTATGACCATCTCTAGGATTTTGAAGAACTTGTCAGAGACCATTTCAGGAGACGTGGTTATTACATCCTTAAAGCCTGTGATGCATACATGAAGGGCTACTTAATTGGCTCTCTAACTAAAGATGCCTCTTTTAGTGATGAGAACAATGCAAACTCCACTTCAGTTGGTTTCAAGCTGATGTTAGGCAAGATTGTGCCGAAGCTTTTATTAGCACTTAATGAAGTTGGAGCTGATTGTCAGGAATTTAAGCATCTCCAGCAGTCATAATGGTGGGTTCTAAAGCCAAACTGAACGTTGCCATCAAAGCGACAAGGTCAGTGCCGATATGTCCAAATTCCAGATATTTTTCAATGTAAAGGCTCTATCATGCTCTGTCTGTTATAGGACTTGGTGAAACATTCTTCTGTCTTGTTTGGAGCCTTATAAATTTTAGGAGGTGCAGTTCCTTGGAGCAAACCGCAAGGTTCCTTTTCTGTCATTTGGAAATTCTTTTTAACTAACTTAGAAGATTCAAAATGTGTGCTGATTTTTCTCCTTTTACTTCAATTCTTCTTGGTGAATTTTCCTTCTAACATTTTGGTTCACAGATTTCTTTTTTCTTTTTTTTTTCTTTGAGAATTTCACAGATTTCTATTAGTACCCTAAGAAATAGGAATGGGAAGACAGTTAGGGTTTTGGATTGACTGTTGACTTCCAATGATAAATTGATTTAAATTGAAGAAAGAGTGTCTTACAACTCAAGTTTCATTGTATGTTAATGAATATTGTGGCAAGTTGATTGCTTTATCTGAATCAGATTTCTTTTACTCTATTTCTTGTTCTGATAGATAGGATGGGAAATGTTATTTCAATTTCTGCTTCCTTTGAACTTCGATTCTCCATTTTATCTAACCAAGTTAGTCCTCTCGAAACCCGTGAGCCTGAGAGCTTTCACGTAGGATTTTTCCCCGCATGCTGGTGATAAGATTCAAGGGCTATGCCACTCAAAATCATAGCATTGATAATTCACTCGTTCTAACTTGCTATTGTTTGCAATCGGAATGGCAGACTCTTTACACTACAAAACGTGTTCGATACGTACCAGTTCGTAAAAGCAACCTTATCGAAACCAGTCCCTGTTTTGAGCTCTTATTTAGTTTAATACTTGCATGCTTTTTAGCAACCTAATGCTATAACAAGTCTACCTGATACTTGAAGAATACCTGTGGACAGTAGAGTGGGTTTTTCATTTGAACTACAAGAAAGGCACCAACACACCGGAAAAATTACTGAGATCAAAGGTGACCATGGCTAAAACGTATATTTACTTTCAAAGCTTTTTTATAAGCATTTTACATTTCTTCACGATAAGGTTAGTCAGTGTATGGGCTGCTTTTAAGCATTAAAATGCTTGAATTGGTTGTCACCATTGAAATAAAATAAAATAACTAATTAGATACAATTCAATCATATTAAGTCATGTTTAATATACAGGATTATAATAAGATGAATAGAATAAAATTAAATAATATCATTTTATTTTATGTTTAATTGTACAATGATTAAGATAAAATAATTTATTTATTGATTAAAATTATCTTTTCTTAAAATTTATATAATTTAAATTATTGATGTAATTTTTAAAGGTATAATAAAACATAAGTTTAATCTCATGGATTAAAAATAATCTTCTTTCACTTTGAGAGGATTAAATCATCCTATACCAAGAGGATGATAATTCTTCTTGTAATTTTATCTCTTTCAATTAGATACAAACTAAATATAATATAAAATGATTATCATACTATTCTATCCATTATCTTATGCACCAAACGTAACCTTACTGTAATAGATACGAACATTTCTTTCCCCCAATTCGCAAATGCTCTATGGTTGGCTGTCGTTGTCAATGTCTTAGCCTCTAAGTGTGGATTATCACCACTGTGGAACATAAAGCCATGGTCCCTCTCAAGTCTCACCCTCCCTCTTTTTGTCCCATTTTCTTCCTTCATGCCTTTGTCTCTTGTAATATGTGATTAAACATGAAAGACATGAAAATTTTGACCCACTTACATATTGAGGGGCTTTAAAATTCTAGTCAAAATAAATTCCCAGATGAGATACGGAAGTATATACTTAACCAGCATAAAATTTCTAATAATATCAGAAAACTAGACATAATAGTCAAGCAAAAACTATTGTTGTAATTCAAACTCCCTGAAAAGGGGAGATTGAGATGGCAAGTCATGGCATTGTTCCACAAATCCTAAACCAGCTTAGACAATTTTTTTTTTTACTCTCCCTTTGTTTTATTGTGCTAGGCAAAGCCATACTTTTAACATACAACAAAACTCTTTCTCACTACTTTCTTACCAATTATTTGAAGTCTGCATCTGCCATTCTGGCAATTTGCATTTCCTTGTACTAATTCCCACCTCCCCCCTGCTCTCCCTTCTTCAGAATGGATAAATCACAGGAATTTATTACTGTGATAGGATCTCACTCTTATAACAGAAGGGAAACTAGCATCTAAGAGACTAAAGCATTACTTCAACCAAATTTAGCAGTTGAACCAACTCTTTTCCCCTTGGTTCAAACATTTTATAGTTTAAATTTCAAGGATTTTCACCATGTTCCTACTTATATGATTATTTTACTAGTATTTGGCTCCAAATGATTCAAGTGCCACCTTCACGGCTTCACCTACAACCCACTTTCTTTCTTAAAACAATTCTTGTTGAAGTACCACAATTTCTCCATCTCATTCCCAACAACAACAACAACAATAATAATAATGACTTAAATATGTCTGTAGGCATTAGAAAAGTTTTTTTTTTCCCTTTAATGCACTGCTTTTACCAAATTTAAGAACAAACATGCTTTTCCTTCTATAAATACCACCTTAAAAAAGTCAATCACATTAGTAAAGCACTAAGAAGAATGGCACTCAATCAACAGAAGAAATAAACAGAAGAAGTTGTGTAAAAAAAACTCAAGAAGAATCACAGTAAAATACTAAGAAATTATTATTGCAAATTTGTTGTCCTGTTTCCAATTTAAACACAACACTATAGTTCTCAACAACTAACATCTTTTTTCTCCATTTCTCAATTTTCTCAATCATCACCAAAAAAGAAAACCGAAATCAGAGAAATTAAAACATTTTTTAAAGAAAACAGATAACTTCAAATATTTTTTGAATATTAAAAAAATTGAAAGAAAAGGGAATCATACACTATTCTTAATGATCCTCCTCCTAGCCAAAAACCTAGCGATAGGAGGTGTAAGCGCGATGGTGATCGGAACCCGAACAGGGAACAAGGCCTTGTTACAAAGCACAGCCAATGCAAGTGCCCCACCAGTGGAAGCGGCAAGCTCAGCCGTCCGATTTCTTTGCTTCGTCTCAATTGGTTCTTCCATCAAATACCCATCCGAGTTTGGCGATTGTGGAGATGGGTTTTGATTCTTTTGGTCTTTGGAAAGCCCCGGAAGATGTAACTTGTCCAACAACGATTCAACGTCGACGTTGTTCTTGATGGCTACGTAAAGTCCCGTTACAGAAGCTGCGGAAACTGAGAAATGAACCCCAAGTGCCACCTTCCCGTACTTCTTCAAGAACTGCTTGAATCGACTCCCACTGAAAGCAGCCATCTTTCTTTCTTTGAAGTATCGGGTTTGTAAGAATAAGTGCGAGCCTTTTGAGAATAGGAGGGTTTGGCGGTGGTTTAGGATTTTGGGGTTATTTTAGGTTTAGGGCTTTGACTATTGTTTTTGCTTTTGTTAATTTAGGTTCACTTGCAGTTAGGTTTCGGTTTAAGCCTTGTAGAATATTGGGCCTACTTTCCAGGCTTGATCTTTTCATATGGATCCATTAATCAATCCAATGAGTATCATTAAATTTATTTATCACCCTTGATTTAACTTTTCATGTAATTGGTTGGTTGCTATTTATTTGAAAACTTTTAAATGCATCCCATTTTTTATTTTTTTCAAAATTTTTTGTAAGTAAAATTATTGAAAGTGAATTTTAAAGAAGATATAACACTTTTCAAAAATATATTTTAAAAAAATATATAATACTTTTCGAAAATGCAATTTAGAAAGTAAAAAATGAAATTTTATGAAAACTTATAAAAAAAAAAAAGAATTTCATTAAAACTATCTACAAATTAGTATTATGAAAAAATTTATTATTAGAAAAAATCATAAATTTTAAAATTAATAAAAAAATTTTTTTTTTTTATTTTAGAAAAAAAATCTAATGAGATTTTATTTCTTGATATTATGAAAAATGATGAAACAATTATTAGGTTTGATCAATATATAAGAGTTGAAATTTTTTACAATTTGTACAAGTAATACTTCTGAATATTACATAATTTTTTTAAAAATCTAATATATTAATTGGAGAAACTCATTAAGACAAGTAGATAGAGAGATTTTTTCAAAAAATTCAATTTAATTAAAATTATTATAAAATTTTAATAATTGATACAAAAAATATTTATTAAAAATGATAAATTTTAAATTCATAAAAAATTATATTTTTATTTTTCTTTAATTTAATTAGAATCTCATAAGATATTATTTTTCATCTAAAATAAAAATAGTAAAAGTAATTTTATATTAATTTTAACTTTTATGAATTTTCTAATAATAACTTTTTTATTACTCTTATTTGTAAATAATTTTAATAAAATTCATTTTTTATAATTTTTCATAAAATTTCACTTTTAATACTTTCAGTTTCGAGAATTGTTCGTTCTGATTTTTCATATATATATTTTCACGAAGTGATATAATTTTTCAAAAATATATTTTTTAAAATTTTAAAACTTGTGAAAATGATATATAAATAATTTCATTTACAAATTTTTTTTTTTTAAATTGGAATCTGTAAAGGTAAAACGAGAATCCATTTCCTTTGGAGCTTTGACCTTTGAATTCAATTGCTTTTTGTCACTTCTGAAAAGTTCTCACCTTAATATAACTATACAAAACATATTGTAGCAAGAAGTAAGAATAACCATGGCTACTGGCAGAAACATTTAAAAAATCCAGTCTTAGATCGATGATTTCGAGCCAATTGTATTTTATTAATTGTTGACTAATTGATGGTGACATCCTCAACTAGATGAAATTGATAAAAACTAAGAAGGATTACATAACTTTAATTATCTTGATTGGTTCAACCTTTTCAGCACACCTTCCATTGTTTAATCATTTTCATTGCTTTCAAAGCTATGGAGGAAAGGATTGTCAGATATGGTAGCTTACCAATAATTCTTATGATCTGTTTTTCCTCCCTGAACGGCACCACATCTGAAGTTTACACTGTTGGTGATGAGAACGGGTGGAACTCAGAGGTGGACTATGTTTCCTGGTCACAGAAATACAATTTCAGCGTCGGCGACGTTCTAGGTATAAACTGTTTCCTTCAAAACCTTTTTCCGATTTGGTTTCTCAGCTACATGTTTTATAAAGTTTGGAAATAAGCTAGCCTATGTTCATACTTTCTCCACATAATTTTCTTATTTGTGGAGGTTTGCAAATATAAATATCTCAACAGATATATCAGTAAGATATTATATATTTCTACACAACCAAGCAGATGGTGATTCAGAATCTAATCTGGGTGTATTTATTTTGTAGAGTTTAAATATAATAAGGGGCAACACAATGCCTTTGAAGTGACAGAGGCTACATACCGATCATGTGATGCAAGCAGTGGAGTTCTAGCCAAGTATGAGACCGGAGATGATCAAGTCAAGCTCACTGAATCAAAGAAGTATTGTTTCATCTGCAATGTAACTGGCCATTGCCTTGGGGGAATGAGGTTCGAAATTGATGTTAAAGCAGGAAACACCAGTAACAATTTGGAGCCAACTCCATCACCCAACTCTGGTAGTACTTATGCCTTTGAGAGATGGAGTTTGGGTCTCTACCTTTTTGCATCTGCAGTTCTATTCAATTAGTTTTGTTGATTGAAAATTGCTGTTTAGGCAATATTTTGTTTTCTTGACCATTATTCTCTTAAAGAATTTTTTAACCCATCTTAATTAATTACTAAAAATGTGAACACCATAAGTTAATAAAGTTATTATTTATCCCCCAAACTTGTTAGCCATCTTAATTTCTGTCAGGGTCCATCTCTGAATAATCATAATATTTATGGAGCCACTTTCAACTGCTTTAGTAACATATAAACTAATCTAACATATCAACCATTGATGGTCTCTGTCTATTGAAATGCTCACAGCAAGCATATTATTCTATGAAATGTCCTGATGATAGCTATATATATTATAGGCTAAAGAGATAAAAGGTCCATGGTCCTTTTTTCAAGCACAGCTTGAAGAAAGGTCATGCCGCTTGCTTTGGGCAGTGATGGAGGTGGTGGTGATGGGAACTAATATGGGGATTGTGGAGGTGATGCTGGAGCTGCTGCTGATTGTGATAATTACATTCAATACCATTGTTGTTCTCTGATGCTTTTGCCATCTCAGACAACCCCTTGGAAGGGTTTCGGGTTAGCTCCAGCAATGAGTCCCTCACATAATCAGCTTGAATCATCTCACCATCTTTTTTCTACAACCAAAAAGTAATTTTAGTTAGTACCTTAATTTGTGTGTTTTTGTGGTATGTATGTGTATACTATGCATTAAGCAAGATGCATGTCTTCTGAGATATCTTACCTCTACTTTGAAAACATTTGACACAAGGCCTGTGCAGCTGTTTGCATTTGCATTTGTTACTTCCAAGCCAAATGAATCCAAAGCCTCCATTAATCTTACAAAACCGCCAGGTTTGTGCTCACAAAAAACTTTAACAAAAAACTGGTTTCCATCTATTTGAGCAACTTCAACTTGTGCCTAAACATTTTCCATCCTTCGTGGTTAGAAATGAAAACACATGAAATTACCATTTAAACTCCAATAAAAAGACAAGAATATAGGTATTTATTTTACCTCCATCTGCTGTGTCTTGTCAGTAGTAATTTCCGCATCTTGGTTTTGCTTTGAGACACTGCCATTACCTCCAACAGGAAGGCCATTCGGTCCTTTATCATGTTCAGGATTAGAATCGACAGGGATTTGTTCATTTTGTGAGAAAATCTCAGATTGAACATTTTTGTGGATTCCATTCATGCCTGTTTTCTTAGCACCAATGTCGTTCTCTGAATGTTCTTCAAGCTCATCTTGGAGTTCTTTCACTTGGTTTAGCAACTCCTTCACAAACTCAATTGCGTCTCCAAGGATGGAAGCTCTATCCAACTAAGAATAAAGAACAGACAACAATATATCAAAAGATATTTTGGTCTAAAACTACTGTCAGAACAGAATGCACTTCTTCATGGTGAAAATAGAAGGGAATCAAGTAGATAGTGTATTAGGACAGTGATAAGTACCTTCGAAATTTTGGGAACCAAAGAGCGAAGAGCATAGAGTCTCTCATTAAGCTTTTTCCTTCTTTTCCTCTCAGCAACAAGGTTTTTGGACTGCCCGTTGGACCCTTTCCGCCTTTGGTACCTTGCATCATCTTCATCATCATTCTGATCACTGCAATCCGAAAGTGAATCTGATCGTCCATTCTCTTGTTTTATAGAGTCCTTTTCATTTCCTTGGATAACGATTGATTCATTGGTCATCATGGAATTCAATGGATCCATCTCTTGAAGACCATTATCTCCTGAAGACTTATATGGGTTAATTACCTGGTCTGAAAGGAATATATCGTGAGATCCTTCAACAAGTGCATCAATCTTGGTCTTATCTTCTGAAAAGTAATTATACTGCTGCAGGGAATTTGTTGGTCGAATTTGATCAACAGAGATATCATATGGTAGGTTTAGAGTTTCCAGTGCTGTTGCCAAAGATACCGGTGGCTGGAAATGATTGGGGGGATCCTTTTGATCATTCTCATTCCCTAAATGAGGCTTTGCTTGAAGTTGATTCAGTGCTTGGGCGTTTAGCATAGTGAAATGTGTATCCATGCTGCTTGAATTCATCATTGCGCCCTGCTCTAGTGAGATGTTGCAGAGGGTGACAATATAATCCATGACATTTTGATCTTGACATACCTATTTTGAGACATCAACAATTGACCGTGTCAGAGGAAAAAACATGTAAAAGAAAGAAGAATGAGAGAAGAAATATCATACTGATTTGGCAACAAAAAGCTCAATTAGTCCTTGTGCAACTGGAATCAAAATCCTAGTTCCAACTATTTCCTGCAAAAGGTTGGATGAAGATCAGCCTTGTTTTCTGTAAGTGATTAGGATGGTGCTTGATCACTTATTGAAATGAACTAACCTCTAAAACATTTGAAGCTGAGTTATTAGAGAAGTTTAACCACTTGGGTTGGTTCGATATCAAGGCCTGTGCATGAGTACTTCTGTTTACAATCTCTCAAAGAAGCAGTTAAACTCTGTCAAATACTCATAAAAAAGATACGAATGAAAAAGAAGAAAAGAGGTAACATCAAGCAAATACCCGGAGTCTAGGGGCATGCAAGAAGGAAGTTGGGCAAGCAGTTCACAGGATTTGGTTTTTGGATGCTGAAACATAACATCCCTGCAAGGGAGGACTGGAGTAACAGGAAATTGAAGTTCTCCACCGCTTTCTATACTTTCAGTTCCAGCACAACAACAATCCACCCACTCAATAAACCTAAACCAATAATCCAAAAAATAATAATAATACATTGGTGTGAAAGAGAAACATGGATGGAAATATATTATATATACTTTGATTGTCATGCAGTTTATGATTAAGTCTAACCTTTGATCATCACTCAGTTTCCAGAGAACACAATAATCCCATCCTTTGGGACCCACGAGCTGTCTTAGTCTATCCATGAGGTTTTGAAAGATGTTCATCCTAAATGACCTTCAATGATTCAAAGAGGAAAAGGGTTGAAAATATAGTACTTTCACAGGCTGTAACTGAATACCACTGTCAGCTAGCAAGAAACTTGTCAGAAAATCAAGAACATGGATGCAAAAAGAGATAAAAGAGAGAGAAACCTGGCAGATCCAATATCGTTGTGGCTGCTTCTTTTGACTGAATAAGATAGGAAAAAGAACAAGCGAAGAATGCAAGACACAACCAAAAAAAAAAAAAGCAAAGGTGCATACAAGTTTGAATTGATAGCAATGCTTAACTGCATCATCATACTTACCTCATCCTTAAACTACTATCTGATCAGTAAAAAAAAAAAAAGAAACAAAACAACAAAATCTTGATTTCTACGTTCTCATTGAATGAAGAATTCAAATTTTAATCGACTCCTTGTCAATTATGTTTCATTTTATATGTAGAGGAAAGCTTGGTTTGTTTTTGTTATTTGGTAGGTGAAATGCAGTGCTTGCATGAGAAAGAAGTTTAGAGTTTATACATATTTTTGGGCTAAAAGTAAAGAAATGAGAGAGATATATCATGAAATGATGGCAGGAGCATATTGCATGAGCTAAGATTGCGTATAAAACTTTAACCAACTCTTTTTGAGTTTCTCATTTTCGTCATGGTTTCATAGTCTCTCGTTTCTCAACTACTCTACTCCTTTAAAACAAATTAAGTTCAACAAAATTTGGAATTTAATTATTAAAAAATAACATTTAATAAATTTAAATTTTAAATTTTAACACTCGTAATTTTTTTTTCTATCATCATATTACGAACTTTTTATATATACAAAATTAAGCCATACATACAAAAAAAAAAATCAAGAGGCTAGTTGTCCCCATTTGGAGGAAATATTAACTGTTCATCAAGAACAAAAGGTTAAAAGGTTAAAACAAGAAAGAAAAAGAACAATGACATATTCATGTACTAGTGTCACGGGTCGAGACTTAAGTTTCGAACTCATGCGACTTCGAGACCCGGGCATTTATGCTTCCAACGTCTTGGATCAATTTATCTATCATGGTTCACATCTTTATAAGGTATTATTCATTCTGACCCTTCTGGTCTCACGATTTTATCTTACAAAAAGTACCTCACAAGAAAGAGATGGTATGAATACTTATATACTCCAGCGACCTTTCTTTTTATATTTGATGTGAGATTCATAACTTCTCCATAAATCCGTGACGTTAATACATATTATCTAGATTCGTGACACTAATACACGTTATCTTTTAAGAGATACTCTGATGGTTAGAATTTGAGACTTTAATTTAAAAGTAATGAATTTTACATTCTCTCATAATCCCATGCATGGGATGCTACTGATTTAGCTACAAATTAGTAATAATTCTTTATATTATATGAAATTTTTACATAAATAAATGAAATTTTCACGGTATAATAATAGTAATAATTTAAGAATATACATTGAGAATGATTTCCAAAATACTTTTTTATATATATATTTAAAAAAGAAAAAGCTAAAATACTTTGTTTTTGCTCTCACAAATTAGATGGAAATTGAGGTCCCAATATAGCCTTATAGGGCCTTCACAAGGCCCAACCCCTGACCCCATTTTAACACAAGTGCCGTAGCCCATAGTGGCCGAGACAGTGGCCTCATTACGAGCAATTAGAATCTAATTGCCTAGGAATTAGTTCCACCACCACCACCCTACCAGTTTTTTTTAGATAATTATTTTCATTATAAATTATAAAAAAAAAAATTATTAAAATTAAAAATTCAGCATTTTAAAAATTATGAATGCTTTTCCATTTTTTAAATCAATTTTTTTTTTAATTTTAAAAGTAGGTTTATCTCATTAATATGTGTTTATAATTAAAGTAAATTACAATAACAACCATTGAAATGAGCATTTGTGAATGTATAAATTTATTTGTAAAATTAAAAAATTTTAACGTACATAAAAATAAAATAAATTATTTTATCTACCATCACATAACATTTTAACATTGCATTTAAAAACTTCATTATTAATGCATGCAAAAAAATTACTTATTAATACCAAACAACAACTTTTTCTTAGTATGAACATTTTGCATTTTTTTTTTTACAATAAAAAAAAATTATGTAAAATGAAAAATCAAATCCTATCATTCTCTTCTCTATCATGTAGAAAAAAAAAATCCAAATCTATAATAGCCTTGTCAAAATCCCACCAAATTAATTAAAAACTTCATACATGGTCCGGATTTTACGTTGCTTGTCCTAATCAGCCACCTTAATATTGAACAAACAACCACCCACCACTTTGTAATGTCAAAATTCTTCATTTTTTTAATGTTTGGATTGTCAAGTAATAACACTCAAAATACATTAGTTTAAATCCAACTTTTATAATGTGAAAGCCTAAAATTAATTCGAATAAAAATTAAATAAATAAGATTATGATTCAAAAATAAAAAATTTATTATAAATTTTAAATTTTATTAAATATCATTTATTAAAATTTATTATATCGATCAATTAAATTAATTTTAAAAACATAAATTATATTATTATATTTATTCATAAACAATATGGGATATAAATTATATAATAAATATAAAATTTGAAATTAACATTATTATTTTACAGGTATCATTTAAACTATATATTTACTTATTACTAATAATTTCACCAATGATTTGGAAAAGTAGGAAGAGATTGATGCTTGCTGCATGCCTTTGAGTTTTATTTGGGAGGAAATTTCAAAGCCTTAATTTACACAAGTCGTCCCGTGGTCCCATTTTTCTTCTTAATTTTCCGCTAGGTGTGGTCCAACTATGGCTATGCATACCTTTTTGGGCATCAAAATTAAACATTTTTACGTCACAAAACGACTTAATTAATTAGGTTTGCAATAATAAAACTAGTTTAGCCTAAAATTTTTGGAAATTAAAAATTAAAAATTAATTTTAAAGATTTCAAACTCAAATTTTTAAATATATGAAACGGGAATTATGATTTTACAATTCTTACACTTGAACCCTAAATCCCTAATGCCCAAAATCATTTATAAGAAAAAGAAAGTAAATAAAAAAATACCATTTCAATGTTACTTAAATACATCATATTTAATAAATAAATAAAAAATATTTTATTTATTGTCAATAAATTATTATGATTTATTAAAAAAACCCTCAATCATTTACTTAGAAATTCAAAGTTTAGGATTATAAATTTGCACAAATATTATATGAAAATTGTAAGTAAGAACTCTCACCTTCAACACTTTTCACCAAAAGACACTTTTTTTATTTTAATAAAATAAAAGAAACATGTAAATCTTTTAATATTATTTATTTTGAATTAAAAAAGAACAATAATTTATAGATATAAATAAAATTACAGATATTAAATTTTAAATTTTAAATGTATTAAAAATAATTATATAAATTAATTATATTAATTTTAAAATTTAAATTTCTAAGCTTAGATAAAAAGGAATATTGCTTAAAATAATTGAAATAGGACCAATTTATTCTTTTGTTGTTTTTTGTTTTCAGTAATTGGATTATTTGTTTTATCCTTCTATTTATCAACCCTACCTTTTTGACCATGCAAAAAGAAAATTAAAAAAAAAAAAAAAAAAAACTCGAAGTTCAAATTCAAATGTCATACTGGTCACCAGAAAATATATATATACAAATCTTCTAGAAACGTTAAGTAGTAAAATAATGCCAAAAAAATTGGAGAGTCGAACCACAAATTTGGCTGTTACACCAGCACAATTATTAACAAATATAATTCAGAAGGAAAAAAAATACTAAAAATAAAAACGTCGGACACGTGGCTGATGTCTATGAGAGGATTTTAGGCAGGCTGATGGCTTTAGGCTTTTAGCTTATGTCAGACGGCATTAAATAATTTAATTATTTCTAGATATTGCTCATTCACTATGTGTATAAAAATGAAAAAAAAAATATATCGCAAAAAAATTATCTGATTTTTTTATATAAAATAGATCGTAATTTACGGATAGAAAGAGACAGAAGAATGTTGTCAAAAATTTTCCGTCATCTTCATGTTCGATCTATGGTTGGAGGAAGTTCCGTCAAACCACGACAATCCCAAAGACAAGAGGGTTTTTTTTTTTTCTTTTTTGTTTTTTCGGTTTTCAGACACGGTCATTACTCAAACCTTTTTATACACAGAAAAATGAAAGACTTTCTGTGTCTCTGATAGCATCTCCTTTTGGATTCACCTTTCTTTCTCTTTCTCTCTCTCTCTCTCTCTGGTAATCTTCCTTACTCTTTTTTTTCTGAAATATTTTTGTTCATTTACTACTGCTTATGTCTTGTTTATCTGTCTGCTTTTCTGAGTTATTGCATGGGCTTTTTTTTTTTAACAAATGAGATGAGATTTTGGAATTAATATAAATTTCTGTGTTTCTTTTATACTCTATCCTCTGTTTGGAATGGGGGAAAGAGTAGGAAAACGGAAAGAAAGTTGTTATCTAAAGTTTCTGTATGTTTAGTTTTCTGGGTTTTTTTTTCTTCATAGAACTCTTTTAGTCCTTTGTTCGTTTTGGCTTTTGAATTCTGGTTTTGACATTAACAAAAGGCCAAAAAGTGTTTTTGGTCAAATTTTGACTTCTTATCTATTGGAGAGAAGCAACTTCAGATTCCCATATTTTGTTTCTCTTTTCCTAATTAATAGATATCAATCTATTTTGGAAAATCCTAATGATTGATCATGGTTGGTGTATCACAAGTTTTTTTTAATCCATTTTGTTGGATCATAATCTAGTTGTTACTTGTATATATAATTTAAAGTTATTTTTGTAACTTGTGGATTGAATTTCAATTATGTTCATAAATTTGGAAAAGAATTTTGGTTTTGAGATAAAGAATCAAAAACTTGGTGTATGGTAAAAATTCTGACTAAGAAATGAAAGATCATAGCAAGCTAGATCTTTGTGCTTACTTTTCAATTGCATGTGACAGTTTTTGGTGAATTGGATATGTGCTAATTTATTATGAGTTTACAGAGGTAAAAGTGAAGTCAACAAGGAGATGAGTGAGAATGGAAGAGTACACCCGAATTGTGTTAATGCTGCTAATCCCTACCATGAATGTGGTGTATATTGCCTAAACAAGATTGCTGATGGCAAGGGACAAAAAGAAAAGGATAAAAAGAAATTAGGTAATCAATCTTCCTCCTTGTAATCTATTTCCGACTTTATCTTTGTGAAACATGTTATTCCACAGAATCCGCATGGCTGTTGAAGTTATTCAGTTCTATGGCAAATCCTCTCATTTTTCCTAATAGTATTTTTAGTAGTTTTTGGGAAAACACCGTAAACCCTGAAGCTTCACATGCAATTGATTCATGATCGATTCACTGTGACTGATGTAAGGTGGATGATTGAATTCTAGTTAATGGTTTAAGTAAACTAAGAAGTTGATTTGTGGAACTTATTAGTCTAAAAGTGAAGTTATTTAAAGCAGCATCCATGTAGAGGAAGTTTTGGTCTATTTTTTATGTGGTCACTTAAGAGCTTGCAGTTGATCAAAAGAATTTCATTCTGATTGCTAATATTTCACATATCCTGATTTCCAACCATCAATGGTTGTTCTAGCATAGCTTTAAATCATTGATGAAATGCGTGAATAAGGAAGATGTCATTTATGTCTTTCTCGGCTTCACAAGTAGAGAAAAGGGCATGCTTGGAAAATATTTTCATTCCTGTATCATCAAATGCAGCTAGGTTAAGTTCAAAGTACAAAGATTTTAAGTTTCTTGTTAGTACCTGGGCACTGTGTTTTCCTTTGGTTTTAGCTTCACTTTAGCTCGGCTGATATAAGATATGTTGCTAAGCCTAACCTAGTAACTTTAAATTTGTTAGCTTAATTCCTGGTTGGAGTTTCAACAATTTCAGAACAAGGTAAAAATCTAAGCTTTTGTTGACCGCTTTCTAAAAGCAGGTTTAATTTCCATTTCCATCTCCATTTGTTAGATTACCACCATGGTATAACAGAAATTGTACATAACAAAAGGACTGATAATGGGATGAGAGTTCAACCAAATTGCCCTAAAGCATCTAATCCTTACCATGAATGCAATGAATTCTGTGTCTGGAGAACTTCCAATGCCGATACTCAGGGGGTTAGAAAGGAATCAGGTTTATGAGTGATTAAAAGTTCTTTTCTGTATTAGTAAGGTTTTGAATTCTGTTTAGGTTTTGTTGATCTCCTTCTAAAACTAGGTGTCTATGTCTAGATAATCTCAATGGTAGAAAAGAAGGTGAGCTTAGCAAAAAGAAGGATGACAAGGGAAGAGTGCACCGAACTTGGGGAAAGGCATCTAATCCTTACCATGAATGTGATGAAATTTTGTTGACTGCTTTCTAAAAGCTGGTTTAATTTCCATTTCCATCTCCATTTGTTAGATAACCACCATGGTATAACAGAAATTGTACATAACAAAAGGACTGATAATGGGATGAGAGTTCAACCAAATTGCCCTAAAGCATCTAATCCTTACCATGAATGCAATGAATTCTGTGTCTGGAGAACTTCCAATGCCGATACTCAGGGGGTTAGAAAGGAATCAGGTTTATGAGTGATTAAAAGTTCTTTTCTGTATTAGTAAGGTTTTGAATTCTGTTTAGGTTTTGTTGATCTCCTTCTAAAACTAGGTGTCTATGTCTAGATAATCTCAATGGTAGAAAAGAAGGTGAGCTTAGCAAAAAGAAGGATGACAAGGGAAGAGTGCACCGAGCTTGCGGAAAGGCATCTTATCCTTACCATGAATGTGATGAAAATTGCTTCAAAGGAACTACATAGGCCAAAATTCAAGGGGTTAAAAAGGAATCAGGTTTCTCATGATATGATTGAGAGATTTGTTGTATTTGTACATGTGTATTCTGTGGGTTTTGCTGACCACTTTCTAAACATAGGTGTAAATTTTTTTTTTTATTTGTTAGATATTCACGATGGTATAAAACAAGGTGAGCTTAGCAAAAAGAAGGATGTCAAGAGAACAGTATATCGAACTTGCCCAAAAGCATCCAATCCTTATCATGAATGTGATGATTATAGGGAAGGCAAAAAGACCCGACCCCGTCGGGTTTTGACCCGACCCGACCCCTTAGGGTCGGTTTTTTTTTTTTTTTTTAAATCGGGTATCGGGTCGGGTAGGGTAAAAAAATTTCGGGTTAGGGTTGGGGTCGGGTTTTAGGCAAACCCGACCCAATATATATAAAAAATTTATTTTTTTAATTATTTTTTAAATTTTATATTTAATTATATATATTTTTATATATATTTAATTTTATATTTATATTTAAAATAATATTTTATTAATTCGGGTCGGGTCGGGTCGGATTTAATTTTATATGCTGTCAGGTCGGGTACGGGGTTCGGGTATTGCATATTTAAAATCGGGTCGGGTTCGGGGCGAGCAAAAACCCGCCCCGCCCCGACCCGTTGCCATCACTACTGATGAAAATTGCTTCAAAAGAAATACTGACAACAATGCATGGGGGGTTAGAAATGCAACAGGTTTTACCTCCTTTTTTCTAATGCTGTTACTCATTAAGTTGCTACAAGCAACCTCCTGCAAACTTCTTTTTTGTTTTTTCTGCTTTTATGGAGTTGCATTTATATTTGCTGAAAGAATATGGAGTACAGTAAATTCTTATAAATAGATAACTAAATACAACCTTCAATCCCCCTTGGGGGAAGGACTTCACTCCTAATGGATAGAAGATGAGAAGATAAAGAAAGGTAAAACCGTGAAAGTCCCTACTGTTTTCCCTCCCTTTAATGGAGGCTGGATAGAATAGGGGACTCTGGTCAACAGCCTCATACAGCTTATTGTTGGCTCTTCTAAGAACCTTGGAGAAGTAGTAAACGTCCTTAAAGAATTCACCTTTATAAGCCATGTGGTGCTTAGATTGTGGCATATTCGATGCTTTTGTTTGTTTTGGCACGATTTTTTGACTTGAGGTAATTTTTAGTCTGATACACTTTGAGATACATTTTCACCGGTTTGGTGACATCTAAGGACTTGATTCTCCATCAAGATTGATGTTTTCTTTCAAGGTGCACAATTTCACTGTTTGATGTTTCTGACTACAGTATTGTCATTGTAGGTTCCAAAATTCTTGATGCCTCCAGAAGCTTTGGCAGTAAAAAGAAGGGATCTGAGTCTCAACCGAAGTCCTCTCGAGCACTTGAGATTACCCCTACCATAGATGCAGTTTACCCGGTTGACCCCAAGTCACCTCGGTCTCATTTTTCTAGAAAGAAGATGGAAGCAGAGAATGCTGAGTCCTTGTCTTCTTCTGAGCGACACTCAGAAGAGATATATTCCCAGGATCGATCATTTGATAAGGCCCAAATTCAATACTCTCAATCATTGCCTATGTCTGGCAAAATCGTGGTTGGTGCCTCTCACTCTTACAAACTCACATTAGTAATTCTCACTTTTTTATCCATGTGAATATTAGCTTCTGTCCTCTTTGACAGTCTCCTGCTGATACACCAACCAAATTTAAAGCAGAGAAGGTTCAAAATTCGCCTAAGGTAAGTTCAGATGCAAGTACTGAGCATGGGAGAGAAGATCCAACAAGCTCAAACTTTAGTTTCTCAGGGATTGGCCGAGCTCTAGAAGAGAGTGATGAGGAAGAAGAGGTAGAATCTGTTATCTCTGATTCCTGTGTATCAGTTGGAAAATACCATGTGAAAGCAAGTATCTCCTCGATTCTACAGTCAATTTTTGATAAATATGGAGACATAGCAGCTAACTGTCAATTGGAATCAGCTTCCATGCGCGCTTATTATTTAGAGTGCTTGTGTGCTGTAGTTCAAGAGTTGCATTCCACTTCATTCAAGCAACTAACCAAAGCAAAAGTAAAAGAAATGTTTGCTGTTCTTAAGGATGTAGAATCTGCACATATTGATGTTAGTTGGCTGCGTGCCCTGCTCAATGAAATCTCAGAAGCCATTGAGCTTGTTAGTCAACGTCAAACTTTCGAAGCGAAAAAGGTCAAATACAATCGTTATTTAGAGTCAGTAAGGAAAGAACTGGAATCTAAAATGGAAGAACTAGCTCAGAAGGAAAAGGAGGCTGCTGATGCCCAGGAACAAGTCACAGAAACCAAGGCTCGTTTGGATGACATTGAGCATGAATGTTCTCAACTGGACAAAGCTATTTCATCCATAGTATCCATCATGGAAAAATTCCAGGGCAAATCTCTGGCGGATGAGCTCTTGTAATGGCGTTTTGCAAACATTACCATTTCCATTATCTAGATATCTTTACCTTTTGTTTGATACTTGATGGTGTCATGAAAGTAGTTTGTGTAGAGCAATTGATAATAGGCTTTGATACATGTTATCAACTTATCAAGTACCATATCTAATCTGATACCAGGCCTTTCTAGAATAATCGAACCGTCTCTTTGATCTTAGCCTCAAGGCTTGAGATTTGTGGGTTGCATTTTTGCTTAACCTCAATCCTGTATGATCCTTTTATTAAACTTTTCTTCTTTTTTTTTTCCTTTTATAATTTGAAACAAAAACTGTTCAATAAAACAAGTTCAATTTCATGTCTTCCTTTGTCCTTGACTCCTGTCTTAATTCATGGCGTTTTTCATGTTTTTTTAATGTTACTGACAAACAGTCAAAATATTTAATTGGGTCCCAACAAGCTTTGAGCTTAGGGGGCCTTTTGACCAACTTCGACCCAATTTAAATTCGACCCGACCCGACTTGACCAACCATCCACCCGTCTAAATAAATAATAACTATCCGATCCGAATTTCTACGTTAATTATAAAACATAAAAGTTTTTAAAAAGAAGGCCTTTTTTCTTCATCACCCAAATAAAACCCTAGCCAAAGGGGAAGTATAAAGCAATCGAAGCAAATTCCGCAATCAGGTTCGTTTCTCGCTCTTTTCAATCCTTTCTTTATTGTTTTCCTGATTTCCTTGGGTATTATCCCTAGTTCATTTTTTCTAGGGTTTGTTTGGGGTTCACTTAACTCTTGTTTGGTTGCTGAGAAATCACGCTGAACGAAAATCTCATGTTATTCGGTATAGTGTAATCGAATGAACCGCCAAAGTTTGTTACTTGTTTGAGAAATTAGAACAATAATTTTGTTAATTAATTTCAATGGCTTCATAAATTTGGTAATTAATAATTGCAAGCTTTATGATTTTCTTTTAATTTTATTGAATATTTAAAAAATGACACTGGAATCTGGATCTAGCTTAATTGTATAAGTTTATTTTCCAGGTAAAAGCTAGCAAAAGACATGGAAGAAGAGCGAAAAGTGCACCCAGATTGTATCAATGCATCGAATCCATACCATGAATGTGTTGAATATTGCTTTAGAAAGATTGCTGAAGCCAAGGCAAGAAAGGATAGAGAAGAGACAGGTTTAAATGTTGTTTTTGTAATTTTATGTTAATGGTTTTGTGTACCCAGCCTGCCCCTTGAGAACTCGTTAGAATGTTTAACTTTATTGATTTAATTGCTCTTCATGTTGTAATAGAAACTGTGCAACCTGAGCGTGGCAAGCCTGATACACATGCTACTTATAAAGAACAAGATGTGCAGCATGGAGTGCCGGAACCTGAAGAAAATTCTGATGATAATAATGACCACCCTGTTGAAGAGAACATTGAAGGAGACATTACAGAACTTACAGGGAGGCAGAAAAAATTATTTGAGTTGAGACTAAAGATGGTTAGTTTGCTCAAGTTTTCGAAGAGAAGCTGTTCTGTTTTGTCATCTTTTATCTTTACGTTTAGTTTCATTAAAAGTAAAAGCCAATTATAAATGATGACTATGCACTTCCAGAATGAGGCCAGAAAAGCCAATCAAACAGCAATGGTCGCTGAAAAGAAAAGAATGGAAGCTCCACCAGAATCTAGAGGAATTTCTAAACAAAAATGGCTGGAGGAAAGGAAGAAAAAGATTGGAAAACTTTTAGATGCAAATGGTTTGGATTTGCAAAAAGCATATATGCTAGATACCCAAGAGGCAGCAGAGGCAAAATATAAGAAATGGGAAAAGGATCCTGCTCCGTTTGGTTGGGATGGTATGCTTTGAACTGCTACTTATTAAATTTACCTTTCTTCCATTATCTTGGTTACTTCATTATCGTGTTTCATGGTTTGTTGTGTTACTCCTTTTTGTTGTTCCAACTTTTGTATCTTACCATCTATTTATACATACATATATCTTTCTTCTAATGTTATAGGCCCATAAAACTTGTACAAAGCATTCTCATCTTTGTTGAAGCACAGCCTTATTATTTCAAAATTGTATATATTGGCAAAAAAGAAAATTGTCTTACCCTGCAATAGCATAGAAACTTTTAACATGTCTATGAGTCTAATCTATGTGTTTTTATGGAGTGACTTAACAGTCTTCAATCAGAGGACATTGTACAATGCATACAAAAAGCGGACAAAGAACATTGACGTTGACCTAGAAGAATATAACAAAATGAAAGAAGCAGATCCTGAGTTCTATCGAGAAGCTTCAAGCCTCCAATATGGGAAGGTATGGTCTGTTTGGAAAAAGTAGAGGGAAAAGATTGCAGATTTATTCCCCAGTATCTTGCTAATGTGATTGAGGCATTGAATGTGTGTTTCTTTTGTTGCACAGGCACCTAAGATCTTGGAAGATAAGATTGACAAGATGGTGAAGGAACTTAAAGACCGTGAAGAAAAGCGCAAGTCATTTAGCAGGAGGAGGAAGTTTCATGAAGAAAAGGATATTGATTCAATCAATGATCGCAATGAGCATTTCAACAAGAAGATTGAGCGAGCCTTTGGAAAATACACACTGGAAATCAAAAATAATCTCGAACGAGGAACTGCATTGCCTGACTAAGGTATATTGCTCGTTGCAATGTTTTTGTTTGGATGCTTTCGTCTAATGGAGCAAACATTGAATGTTCACACCTGGCTTCCTTGCCTTCATAAATCTATGAATATGTATGGGTTTTATTTTCAGAGATACTCCACTTGGCTTTCTGGTTTGACCAGATTATAGTGATTTCTGTTGTTGATACTATTATACCTTGGAATGTATTTTATTTTCATCTTTTGAGTCATCTATTGTTAACCTTGCTTTATTTTTAGCTGGAGTAGTACTTGGAGTAGTCCAGAATCGATTGCATAGGGAACTGAGGCCTAGGATTCACATGTGATACCCCGCTGTCTAGCTCAGCATTTCTTAATTGATTCCTAGGACAAAAATGTAGACTGGTTAACTAGTTATAACTACCTTGCAACTAATTTGACACAATAGGATTATTCTTTTAAGACTTTATCCTGCATTTTTCAGAGTATGTTACCTCTGTTTCATCTAGCTGTACGCAACAACATTTAATGTGATAGCATATTAGAGTTAACCAACTCCATTAACCATTGATTTGAAATTTATACTTTTGTATGCTTTTCATGGTCAGTTGTTTTGATTCACTCAGGTTGTTGGTTGCAGCTTCTTAAATGGGTAAATTAGTTATCATGATACTTTTGAGGGATTCAGATCAGAAGTCCTTCGGCACAACTTATTTTCAGAGGCAATTTAAGTAGAGCATATGATATCCTTGCTAGCGGAGAAACTCTTATGGTGTCATAGTCTATCTGATTAGAGTTGAGGAATGCTGAAAGTTCTCGAATATGTTTGTTCTTCACCCTAGTCATGCAGGTGGTTGATTGGAAAATGTCGTCTACCAATGTCCAAGTCCAACGAAGAATTTCTGTTAAGAACTTAAAAAAACGGTGGCTATGGACCCCCCATAAGTTGAAGGGTAACTTACTGTTGTTTGGTGCCCACCAAAAAACCTAACCATATTAGTTGATTATCTAAAGAATCCAGGACTGGGGACCGTGAGCAATATAGAAACAAAGTTTAAACCACTACACCTAGCACCCCTCGGGATCCAACAGCTGGACCCTTGAACCAGGCCATTATAGTAAGCATGCTCGAGTCCATTGGGTCAGTGTTTGAGCCTGATTTTTCAATTTTAATTTCTTCGAATTGTCATCAAAGCACGCTCCAGGGCTGACTACGTACCTTTCGTAAAAAGACGAGACTATGATTCTCTTTTACTTAACCCCATAAAACGAGAAATTATATACAATTACTACTACTACTGGTACTGGGGGAAAGCAATTCCCTTTTCTTCTGTAATACTTGGTTCTCTTTTGTTTTATCCCTTCTGGTAAGCCGATTTTGAAAGGATAAGAAAAGACCACCCTACCCTACCCATGTGATGCTTTAACATCTGACATCATGATGCCATGACGCGTGGCAGTTGGAGTTGGCAGGGTCCTCGAATTCCTTCGTCTTTCATTTTTCTGCTTTTGGTTCGGTTAGTCCCGTTGGATGGACCCTGGTCTAAAAGTAGGAGAAACAATTGACATGCCAGCATTCCAAAGTGACCTTTCCAGAGAGGTGAAAAGGGTCACGCCAGACTTTGTTTTCACTTTTAACCCCCTCTACCTTGGGTGGGGGGCATCTTTGTCCCTTACTTACTACCCACCCAATGACAGGTGTTAATCAATCACAGGCAGTTATAAAAGCCTTCCAATATACCCCACATGAAGAGGCAAAACAAGACAAAGAAGGCAAGAAATTGCACCTTAAATTATGGGATATGGATCCATGAAGCCAAATTGCCATAATGCCCTAAGCTTTTGAAGGGGAACCACCAAAGCTTGTTGTGGAAATTGTGTGTTCATTTGTCATGTTCTAATTATTACTTAGCCAGCCACCTATCTTAGGTTTTGCAAGGTAAGTCTTGAGTGGAAATTGCCCTAGAAAAGACACTTAAAAGTTTTTAACCACCGCTCATTAAGAAAAAGAAAAAAATCAACACCCACTACTCAAGAATAATGATACACAGGGCAAAAGCTAACAACAAAAGATTTAAATTATAAATATAGAAAAATAAAAAAGAAGGGCCATCTTCATCATCATAATCATCCTGTCATACACACAAACGAACAAATGTAGAAAACAAGAAAGAGAGGTGGAGACAAAGGTATTTGGGTTTTCGATGAGTCTTTTGTTTTTCTCTTTAGTTGGTGGGGTTGCTGCGGAAGGATCCCAAAGCCTTGATAGCTCCAGCTCTAAGGATGAACTGATGGTATATAGCTGCTGCAAGAGCTCCAACAAACGGACCAACCCAGAAAATCCACTGTCCATCACAATATCCCATGGGTTAGTTGAGAAACTAACTCCATTTTAGTAAAAGATAACACAGAAAGATGTGTAGTATGAAAACTTACCTGGTCATCCCAGACTTTCTTGTTGTTGAAGATAACAGCAGCACCAAAACTCCTAGCAGGGTTGATACCAGTGCCAGTGATGGGGATGGTAGCCAAGTGAACCATGAACACGGCAAACCCAATAGGAAGTGGAGCCAACACCTATGCTCAACAACGGAATAAAATGCATCAGAACCTAATTTAACTAAAGAGCAACTAGCTAGTAATAGAATGGCATAAAAACATTGAGAAGACACAAGAACAGTTACTTACAGGGACGTGGGAGTCACGAGCATTCCTCTTAGGGTCAGTGGCTGAGAAAACAGTGTAGACAAGCACGAAAGTGCCAATAATCTCAGCTCCCAAAGCAGTTCCCTTCTTGTAGCCAAAAGCCACAGAGTTGGCACCACCACCAAGGGAGTTGTACTCATGCTTCATGATAGCTTTAACCAACCCAACTCCACAGATAGCACCTAAGCACTGAGCTACCATGTAAGACAGAGCCCTGATCAGAGACACCTTACGGGCCAAAAATAACCCAAAAGTCACTGCAGGGTTAATGTGACCACCTGTGAGCAAAACAACTAAAACCCTTTAGTAAACCACACAAAATAACAAAAGTGTACTTATTTTTCACATTTATAACTAGAGAAGTGAGTTTAGAATTTTCTTCTCTCTTACCTGAGATACCAGCAGTGCAGTAAACAAGAATAAAGATCATGCCGCCAAAAGCCCATGCAATACCCAAGAGACCAACTCCATCGCATGCATCCTGTTGTTTCATGTGGCCAATTACGGTAGCTATTGTAACATAGAGGAAGAGGAGAGTGGCTATGAACTCAGCTATTAAAGCTCTGTAAAAAGACCAGAGCTTGAGGTCAGCCATGCCAACCAGTGGAGCTGGTGGAGGGTCCACATAGTCCTTGCGGCTCTGTCCTTCTTCTCTCACTTCCTTCGACATTTTTTTCTTTCACTTCAGCAAACAGAAACAAACCCTTCTCCTTGTATGCTCAAAAGGCTAAAGCTTATTCTACTCGTGTGTTTTTGTGTTGTTTCTGTGTGTACCTAAATGCAATCCCAGGTCACTCCTTTTAAAACAGGTGCCAAGGGTAGGAAAAATGCTGCATTCATGTATAAGAAAAGGGTAGTTTTGGAATAAAAATCGTGTTAAGCAACTTATTTTTTAAAAAAGAAAATTATAGTTGTTGGAGGGCTGCATACAGCGGAGAAAAGCTATTGGGCATATGGCATTTTTTAGAAGAGAAAAGAAGGTTGTGGGAGAAAGTGGGACCAAAGCCTGTACAACCAGACCATGTGAAGGCTAATCATCCCTCGGTAGGGCTCAAGCGTCAGCCTGGCATCCATAATCCAGCCAAAGCCACGCCTACCACGGTTATACTAGTCTTCTTTCTTCTTTTTTTCCCATTTTTTTCTTCTTCTTCTAAGTTTTACTTGAATTTCCTACTCTATCTCTTGCCTTCGCTTCACACATAATTTCGTTTTCATTTTTTTATTGTAATCCGTGAGTAATGGGTTTGGTATAAGACAATTTGGAAAGTTTTGGTTCAACACTTCAATTACTGGTCTCTTCCATTTTAGCTTTTCTGTCTTTGGACTACATACAATGACACAATTGACTCAACCGTTTGATAGGAATCTATCATTTCCTTCTCTTTAAGATAAATGTAAGTGACTACACGTTAACCATATATCACGTTACTTGAAACAAAGCTCAAAATGAAATAAATTTAGTTGTTTATAATCAGGTATTGCAAAAATGGACTAATCCTTTTGAACTCAAGATTTAAATTAATTAATTTATATAATTATTCATAAAAAATTGTATTTATGATTTTTTTTCTTTTTGAATTATATTTTTTAATAAAAACTTGCTTAAAGTAAACAAAATGATGTTTAAAATGCCCAATTCATGCATGATTATAAAAGGTTTAGTTGTTAATGCAGAGAAATGAAGCGATTATTAATGAAAAAAAATAAAAGAAAATCAGACCCATTCCCAACATTCTTTCTATTTTCATTAATTAGTTGATTGTAGGAAATGCCATTTCTTTATTCGGTAGAATCATTATCAAATATGTCTTTAAGCCTGCTCTTTATTTGATTGCTTTGTCCTTATCCCTCAACGGACTGTAAATTATTCATTAACTTGGAAGATTGAAACAAGATTCAATGCAGCGGATAAAAAATTCAGAGCCATGGACCAACTCTTTTTTCTTTCCCAAAATGACCTAGTTTTCAATGATTTAACTTTTACTATGCAACGGTAAAGGGGTCATTTCATTGTTTTAAACATTCTCTGAAATTAGAACCAGTCTGGTTGGTAGTTGGTTGCTTTTGCGTTTAATCATGGGGAATTTGTGGAGTAATCGGATGATTAGTCAAGGATCACGTGGCAAACAGCTGGCACAGAGTTTCACGGATGATGCTGTGGCACATTCGGTACCACGGTCCCACCACCGTGCTTATCGTTTCATCAGTAACCAGTCCACGTCACGGCCCCACCCGCTGGGCTTCCTTTCATGTACCTTCCCTTGATTTCATTTTCTACTCAATTGTTTTGCCAAAATGCAAAGTAACCTTACTTAGAACTACTTGCAATTACGGGGAGTCTAAATAAATAAAATTTTTTATATTATATATTATATTATAAATTTTTAATATTTATTAGTATTACAATTATTTATTTAATCATAATTTTAAATTATTTAAAATTTGGATCTTATATAATTATTTATTATAATTAAATAATTATAAATAATATATTTTTATTATTAAAATTAAAATTTTTGTACTATACTAATAAAACACTAATTTTCAACCATTAATAGCCTACGTTTAGTACATTTAGTTCTTATTTTTCATAAAAAGTTTAAATATTATATCCGGAAAACAAAAGAAAAAATAAGAAAAATTGATTTGTTATTAGTCAACATGATGCCACGTATGCAACGTCCTGAAAACGGCTAGATGTTTCCAGATTTTTCTGTTGGAGCCGTTCAAAGAACGGGAAGAAAGAGGGGGACCGGTCTCCCGCTTCCGAAATTGAAACCCCGTCAACGGTCACATATCACAACTTTCTAATTTTCATTTATTTTTAAAAAAAATTTTTGTGGCTATAATTAAAGCTTAGAAGCCTGAAATCCCCTAAAGCACGTTAAAGCGTGGGTCCATTTTTTTTTATTGGAAGCAACCCTGCTATTTTCCAAAGAGATTCCAATTTCACTCCATGTTGCAAAATTTCTGAAAAATCTGTTATTTTTTTCTTGTGATTGCTTTCATGAGGATATGACGATTAAAATCAAACATTTTGAATTTTTTTTCTCTTTGCTGGCCATCAATCCCATTTGCCGCAATTCCACTAGCTGTTAGGCTGTTTTTTTTTTTTTCCGGTTGGTTCTTGGGAAAATAAAAAGGAATACAAATTCTGGAGTATATTAGAATTGCTAATAATGCCAACGTTCACCGTTTCTTCTCATGACTTGCGCTGACGACACAATTCTTCCTGATTCTTGCCACTGTCATCGGAACCGTCATTGGCCAGCTTTTCTAAAACCAACCCAGGAATCTAAAGCATGGGTTAAACTTAAATTTTGATTTCTTTTAATGGAGATTTTAAGTCAAGATAAAAAGAATTTGGAGTAGACACTATTTCTCACTTTCATCTGATCATTTGTTTATATTTAGATCATTGGCCTTTTTTCTTTTCTTTTTTTTTTTTTTCAAAGATAGGCTGCAATGATCAAATACCATTCTTTTTGTGAGTGGGAATCTGTCTAAGTCCAACTTGGAATCACCGCAAGGGATCTTTCCAGCATTGAAATTTGAAACATAACTTCAGAATCATCTGCCAAAAAGTTCATAGGAAAAAAAGAACATCAAAAGAAAATGTCTGAAAATTGACAGAGAATCAGAGATACAAACAATTATTTGCACCATACTTTCGTACCATTTGTGTTTTACCATATGGTGGAGAAACAGAAGTGGCTAGGAATTAGTTAAAAAGTCCAGAGTTTTAAGTGAAAAAAACTTTGTACATCATGAAATTACAAATATGAACAGGAATATATAATAGTGAGGGGAACAAAATTGGCATTGGGAGATTGCATGGTCCCATGTTGCAGGATCTTATCTAACTGGAACCATGTCAGAAAGGATTAGGGGCAGTGGGACCAAAATCAAGAGTGTGGTTTGGGGCAATTTTTCTCAATGCAAGTGGGGAAATATATAACAAATATGTTTGCTGTTAAAGTTTGCACAAAGTTGTTTTTATATTTCAATAAGCTTTTTTTAATCTCAATTTTTTTTTCCTTTAAGATAAAGGACAAGATTCCTTTTGATTTTTAGTTTTCTTTTTTAACCTTTTGTTTGTCCTAGAATCATGTAGGTTAATAAGGGATTTCATGTCTTTTGCCACTCTCTACCATGATTCTAAAACAATTGGCTAATAGCCATAGTTGCAGACTTGCATTCCTTTTTCAACTGTTTCTTTATATTGGATTTAAAGAATTGAACTCAACAGCTAAACCAGAACAAATTATCTGGTCACTTGAATCAATATCTATTGCTTGTACATTTGCATTCTTGCAAACAAGGAAAAGAAGTGAAATCCACAATATGAGCTTTGATAGATGAAATAAAACCTAGCAAAATCTGGTTGTCTACATGTCATATTCATTTTTCTACTTATATTTTGATAGTTAAAAGTAAATACAATCTATCTGGAATGTTCCCTTCTCAAAACATATAAAAGAAGAACTAAATATATTGTCATTGAAAGAAAATAGTGCTGGAAAATCAACACAGTGGTCCCTTAATCATTGATTAAGACAAAACTTGCATAAGGAAAAAAAGAATGATGGCAACAGTTACCTTGCCAAATACTATATATTAAACAACAAAATTGGAATAATATATATATATATATAGTTTCTCTGATAGAATATATATAAAATTTGCAAAGGCCTGTAAAAATCTGACCCAAATGGTCTGTTTTGGCAAGTTCCTAATTGTTTAGAATGAGATTGATATTTGTTTTATATAAAAATTTTCTGATGAAACTGTCATTTTATTTTGTCAATAAAGAAGAAGAATAAGGTCATATCCAAATGAATTTGCAAGCTGAGTTTTCATGTTTTGTCTTCTTCGCTTACTCAAAGACAACAAAAGGCCTTGGTTTTCATGTAACAATCCTACGTATACGAATTATTGAACCGAATATTAAAGTTCGGATCAAAAGAAAACTTGGCGTCGGATAATGCTCTTCATGGGCTCTCGACAGCTCCCATCGACAGAACCTGAAGTAGCTAGACGTTTGGCCCAAAAGGAACAAACTGAACTGCAAATGGTAAACTAATGGACTCGGATATCCCGGTGAAATGATTGATTGGTTCATGCACCAATGTGTATATGAATGGGAGTTTTCAACTTTAATATACGACCAATTCTTGCAGGGTATCAATTTGATAAACATGGAAGGTAATAACAGCTTGAGAGAAAAGGACGAAGCCAAATTAGGCATAACATTAAGAACAATCATAAACGTGCATGATGAACCGATCGAGTTCCATTACTTGAACAAGCACAAAGCAATGAAAGCGAAAAGAAAACACAAGAAAGGAAAAGTAGAACTTCAACAAGCATAATATTATGTGCATCTATAATTTTAAGGTATTTAATTTAGATTATCATAGTATTTTATCTTAAGATTTATCTTATTATTTAGAATTATCTTAAGATATATATTTATTTATCTTTTAAAATTATTCATTAAGTAATAAAAATTATTTATGTTTATCATCATCACTTAAAATTTGACTAACTTATATAAAAGTTAGCTCATAACTATTATGGAATGAAGTTGAATCAAATTAAATACTAAAGGTTGAATTTTTTTTGAAAACTCGTTTACTTTCTTACTTATTAATTTAGTATATAACAGATAAACAATTCGTTGAAAGATCAACAAAATGAAGATCCGATCCAAAGAGGAGAGAAACTTCCTCTAGAAAAAGTATAAACGGATGGGGTGGACATAAAAAAAAATTAATTTCATAGTATTGTTAATTAATTAATTACAAATTTACAATATATTTAAAATATGTTTAGTGTATAAGATTATACATAAAATAAAATTAAATTAAATAATATCATTTTATTTTATATTTGATGCGGTAAGTATTAGTATAGGATGATATTTTTTATTACCATTTTTCTCATCATAAGATAAAGGGTAGATGGATTTTTTTTTATTAGTCCAAATTATCTTTTATCAAAGTAAAAGTAATTTAAATGTATATAATTTTGTTATAAATATAATTAAAAAAGGTTTTACACAAAGATAAGTATCATAAATTTTTATTAAAAATTCAGCATGTCTACAGCATGTTTTGATGGTATCCAACATCATGGTATGAAATTATGTAGAGATAATCTCC